AAATTCAGCGTTGGTCTGGGGAGAGAGGGGACAGAGCAGAGAGGGCTGGCGCTTGGGCCTGCATGCAGGAGCCCGGGTTCGTCCCGCATGTTCCCCGGGGCATGCGCACTATAGCACACCAGTCAGCGTTAAATCCATCCTGCCACCGCCTGAGGGATGACTCAGAGCTCCAGCCCTGGTGCTGTGATCCCGTAGGTGTGAGAACTTGGAGCCCAGGAGGCCACCTACCCCCATGGCTGTGTGTGTCCCCCACCCCCACCCCCCGGGAGAGCAGAAAGCAGAGTATCACAGAGTATGGAGCATCACTTGGGAGAGTGGGGGGGGGGGGGGGGGGAACGGGACAGAGGAAGGAAGGGGTCCGGATAGAACAAACTTTCGATTTTATTAATTTCTAGACTGTACTCTCAAAAACTAACTTAAGAGTCAGGTCCTGTTTCTCCTCCTTTCTGGATGGAAAAAAAAATTTTTTTTGGTGCCCCAATTTTTTTTTTTGGTGCTCAGGGCTCACGGGGACCCTAAGGGTCAGCTTGGGTCGGCTGTGTGCTGTGAGCAAGCTCCCTGCCCACCGTGCTCTTTCCCTTCCCCCGCTCCAGACCTCTGTTTAGTCCTAGATTTCCACTTTCCTTTCCCTCTTCTCTCCACGCCACTGGTGTCATGCTGCCCACACACTCCGGGGGCCCCATGCTTTGGGGTGGTGCTCATGAAGCCTGCCTGCGGGGCTCGCTGGGGCTACACACTGAGGTGTGATGCTCCCGCACTGTGGTTGAGTGCTCCGCAGACTCCGCAGGTGGTGGTGGCGTTGGGGTTCCAGGTGGCGGTGCTCCTGGCATCACACTGGCACATGGGGCTGGTGACATTAAGCCTGCACAGACCTCACACCTCAGAGGCAGGCCTTCTGGGGCCCAGCTTTAATGCCCCCCTCCCCGCCTTATTTCTTTTTGATGCTTTTGAAGGTTAAGCCCCGAGCCTCACCCGCGTGTGCTCAGTCACTGGCCACGCCCCTCACCTTGGGGAGGTGCAGGGGTTTCTGGCCAACCCAGCGTAACTCACACTAAAAAGGCATGTCTTCTGCCTCCAAGACAATCCCTGGCCCCCTCTGGTACAAATTTTATCAAATAGAGGGTTTAAAATTTTTTTAAAGCATCTGATAGAGCCTGCATCTGAAACTGTTAGTGCCTAAGTTTTCTTTTACCTGTACGTTGTGTTTTGGGGCCACACCTGACTATGCTGAGGGCTTACTGCTGACTCTGTGCTTGATTGTCTTCTTGGTGGACCAAATGGACCGAGGACCAAATGGAATTCCAGGGACAGAGCCCGAGTTGGTTACATGGCGAGGCAAGCGCCCTCCCCACTGTACTGTCGCTCTGGCCTCTACTGTGTGACTGTTCTCTCCATCAAACTGTGCTTATTGACCGCTTTTACGTTTACTGTGTGTGTGGTCTATAGTTTGCCCCTCTTCGTTCTTCTCTGTTTTGGTTTGGTTCTGGGCCACACTCAGCTGTGCTCAGGGCTTACTCCCGGCCCTACATTCAGGGTTCACTCCTGGCAGGGCTTGGGGGACCATATTGGGTGGATGCTGGGCATCAAACCTGGGCCAGCTGTGTGCATGGCAAGTGCCCTATCTGTGGTACTGTTGATCTGGCCCCAGTGTTATTTGTGTGGCGAAGCAAGGTAGATTTTATTGAAACTTATTTAGAAAGATGTGAGGGGAGAGAAAGAGAGAAGTGTGTGTCCCAAGAGAGAACACAGACTTCTCCAGAGTGGAAATAGGCAAAGAAGCATCAAGACAAGCAAGTGAAATAGGTGTTCAGGGAGAACATGGGCATGAATGGCAAGCCAGTGCGCTATCTCTTTTTATTTCATTCTGAAACTTGCCAGAGGCTTGCCAGTTTTCTTCCGAGAAATCCATTTTTGACTTCACTTGTTTTCTCTGTCATTGATTCTGCCCTTTTATGTTACCTTCTGTGTTTTTTGAGATTTACTTATTGCTTAACTGTTTGGTTTTTGTTTTTGATCTGGCGATGCTCAGGGTTTACTCCTGGAATCACTCTGGTGGTGCTTGGGGACTGTATGGGATGCCGGGGATTGAACCTGGGTGGGTCACATGCAAGACAAGTGTGTCTCTGGCCTGCTCTCTGGCCCTTTATAACTTCTAGAGATTGATACTTGGCTTAAATATTTCAGCCTTTAAAAAAATGCATGCATTTAAATCAATATGATTCTAGTCATATGTCTGCAGCCCACATTTTGTTATGTGTTTTTTTTTAATTAGAGCTCTAAATTTCAGAATTTCGGATGATTTCTCTCTTAGCTCATGGATTATTCAGAACTTTATTTCTTAATCTCCAAATGCAGGAAGATTTTCCGCCTGTAGGTTTCTGCTTTAACTGGACTGTGGGCAGAGAATGTGCGTTGGATGATCTCAGCCTTGCCAGAGTGGCTGCATGTCAGCGATGGTCATTGTGTGCCCAGAGAGAGTGTGTTTCCGGACGGGGACAGGGGTCCAGATACGCAGCACTCGGTGGGCTTCAGTTCTGGGGCCCATGTCTCATCTGCTTTTTTGTCATGCCTGTTCTACTTTGTTATCAGAGATAGTCGCCAATATCTCCCCCTCAGTTTTCTGCTTTATCTCCCTGGTGAATTGAAATATGTTTTTGTTGGTTTTTTATATTTGTGTCACACCCAGTTGTGCTCGGAGCTTACTTGTGACTCTGTCTGTGCTCAGGGATCACTCCTGGTGGGGCTTTGGAGACCGTGACAGATGCCAGGGGTCCAGCCTGGGTTGGCCGGGTGCGAGGAAGGGCCTTTACCCACTGGATTATCTCTCCAGCCTCCAAGTGCCTCTTTCATGTTTTAACTCTTTACATATTGGTGGTCTCTCACATTATCTTGTGTCCCACAGTCAGTGTCACGCAAGCCTGCCCATCTATTTGTGACTTTCCTTAGTCTGTCGCTGTCTCTGTCTCTGTCCTGTCTCTGTCTCTCCCTTTCTCCGTCCCACCGTCCATCCCAGGCCTCTTTGATCACCTTTCCTCTTGCCGTTCCTTTGCCGTTCTTTCACTGTGCGTTAACTGATCGTGCAGGCTCAGTTTGGGGTTGTCTGCAGAGCTGCTTCTCCCTCCCCTAAACAGACGTGAGCTGAGCATTCAGCTTCGTTTGGGCCAGCAGATACTTTCTTTAAGCCGACGCTCCCAGGATGCTGGAGACGTCTTCCTGCTTTCTCTGTGATCTCTGGCTTTTCTTCTTGCGGCTTTGCGTTTGAAGTTTATTTCCAGCAGTCTTACAGGGGTGGGATTAAGTGGAGACTTCTTTCTGTTTATGATTTGTTGGGTTTCTTGAGTCCAAGTCAGTGGTCTTTCATTGTTTTTAGGATTCTTCCATAGCTCTTAATCTTATGATATTGTTTCTGCCCGCTTTCTCTTCACTTTCTGAGACTCTTATTAAATGTATATTTTATTTTCTCTCTCTTTCCTTCCCTTCCGTCCTTCCCTGCAGCTAGCCATGCTCAGCGGCTACTCCCAGCTCTGTGCTCAGGTCACTGTGGCAGTGCTGTCCCGGGGAGTGGACTCGGGCCTTCAGCATGCAAAGCCTGTGCTCAGCCCTCGGACTCTCAGGCCAACGCTGTGGTTCTTACATCCTACTTGAATTGCCGTCATCCCTCGCTCCTGCCATCTGCATACTGTGACCCCAAGTCACATGAGAAATGGGACAGCAGTGGGAGGCTTTCTCTGATAGGTTTCTCCTGTTCTCCCGTGTGTCTTGCTCCCTCAGTGGTCCCCAGAGCTAGACCCTGGTGACTGCTGGGATTGTGGGGCCTCCGGCATCGCTGTGGTCTCAGGCTCTCAGCTCAGTGATAGTACCTGCTTAAAGGACAGAGCTCTTGTGGCCTGCCCAGGCCTCCTGGACAGGAGACTAAACACTCGTTAATAAAAGACACAGTTCTGGGGCCTGGCTGCCCGCATCAGGGTTCAGAGATTGGTTTCACTGGCGGCTTCCCTGCCTGGCTACAGGGGACCACTGGCATGCTCTCTCTTCACAGGGCCTTTCCTGAATCTGTGCGTGCTGAGTGAGTGCTGGGCCGCACCTCTGTGGGACCCAGAATCCCCTCTAGCCTCCCCGGCTAGTCCAGTGCCCAACCCACCCAGGGCCCCGGACCATTAGCCCAAGGCCCACCCCAGGATCTTCCTTTCACCCTCGTGAGTCACCCCCTAGCTGCCCTTGCTCCAGTGACTCTGTCACTGCTAATAGGAGACTGTAAGTAAGAGACACAGTCGGGGGGCAGGGTGCCAGCCTGTGCCAGCCTTGGGTCCCTGAGTACCCCCAGCAGTGAGCACGGAGCCAGGCACAAGTGGCACAAGTTCTTTTTTTTTTTTTTTAAGTTTTTATTAGTGAAACACCATGAGGTACAGTTGTAGACTTAGAAATTTTTGTGCTTAGGTTTCAGTTATCCCAATGAGCAAATACCCATCCCTCCACCAGTGCCCGTTCTCCACCATCACTGATCCCAATATCCCTCCCAGCCCCCAGCCCCCCATCCCACCTCCTTCTGTGACGGGGCATTCCCTTTTGTTCTTTCTCTCTTTTTGGGTGCTGTGCTGTGGTTTGCAAAAGAGGCATTGAGTGGCAATCATGTTCGCTCTATAGTCTAACTTTCAGCATGCTTCTCCCATCCTGGGAGGATCCTCTCAACACCCTTTATTTGGTGCTCCCTTCTCTATCTGAGCTCAGGCGCAAGTTCTGAGTGCTGCAGAGAGTCGCCCCCCGAACAAAACTTAGAAAAAGGGAAACTTCTCCAGTGTTTGAGTTTATTCTTTCCCACAAGTATTTAGGCAGGAGTATAGGGAGAAGAATCAGACTTATCCTGGCATCTTTTGAGAACATAGTACAAAGTTTGTGGCTTAGTTTGTATGTTGCTCAGCCAAGTTCCAATCCATTTAGTATGACTGCACATAAAGACTTTACGTTTGTGTATCTAACGGCTCTCTTTTTCTTTGCCCTAGCTGTGTCGGAGTAGAAGAGCATCATGCCGTCGACATTGACCTATATCACTGTCCCAACTGTGCCCTTTTACACGGTTCCTCCTTGAGTAAGTACTCAAAGCCCAAGTACAAATTGAAGTTCAGAATTTCACTTGTACATGATAATGCTTTAACGATCTTTAGAGCTTTCTTATATTCACCAACAACTATAGAAAAGATATTTTCTGAAGATAATTGAGAATGCGGCATTTGTCTGAATTAGTAAGCCATTTGTGAGAAGAAGTTTAAGGTTGAGGGAAAGCAGGAAGATCATTCCTTGTTGCCGGTGCCAAAGTTCCCAAATTTAAGTACATATTTTCACAGCTTTCAATTTGAGAAGTGTGATAGTTTTACAGGTTCTGGGAACTGAGTTTACCTGTTGTGAAGGAGAAAATGAGGGCGTTAGGGGGCAGATGTATTTCTGAATGGTGTTGTCACACTGATAGGTCTGGCCTGACCTGAGGTCTCTGTGCCCAGCTGTACCCTAGTGTCCCGGACTGGGGAGCAGGAGACCAGGGCCAGCATTTGCCACAGACTCTTCCTGGGGCCAGGCCAAGAGCCAGGGGGAGCGCACAAACCCCGTGGAACCTTCCAGCACTGCACACAAGATGGACTTCATTTTCCACCTCTCCAGATGCTTCCCCAGGTAGACTGGGATAGTAACGATCATTATACAAGCATGAGAGTAGAAAAAAGCGAAAAGACTTTGGATTATTTTACAGCATTCTCTTCTCCAAAAATCCCTGCTGCAAACCAGCATTTTGGTGTTCCTAAAACTAACGGGAAGATGCGTAGACTTAGTTATTTTAGAACTGAAAAGGACCTGTCCGGAACATGCCTTGATGTCTGCTTAAAGGTTCTTACTTTGTGGAGTGCCGAAGTATGTAGTGTATAATGGAATAATTATAGACCAAGTGTGATTCTCGAGGAGACAAGCGAAACGGAGTTGTTAGCTCAAGAAGGAAACGCACCTACAATTTATAGCGGTTTTAGCGTCAAACTTATATAATCCCCAAGTGAAATAATTTGAATTTAATTTCCGTGAAATAATTAGAGGGCGCACGAGACAGAATAAATGGCGTGTTGAAAACACCACGATGTGTGAGGCACGCGCGTTGCTGTTTTCCCTGTGTGATTTCATTTTTAAAAGAACGTGCTGTGCTCACTGCATTGATTGTGCAGTTCATAATGGGTCATGACCTGCACTTGGAGTGAGATAGTTCAGAGTGGAACTCGTGCCCGGCTCTTCTAGGTGCCTCATCTCTGCGTAACCTGTGATGGGGCATTGGCCACCACCTTCCGGGCACCAGGCTGACTCTGAGGATCCTAGAGCACATACCCTTATGCACTCATCCCTTGATCTGGGCTTAGGGCACCTCCGAAAAGCCCCCCACCTGTTTCCTGCCCCTATTCCTGACCTCGGAGGCTCTTTGAGTAAAGGTCTGACTTCATGCAGTGCCCAAGCATTTCCCCTCCCCGGGGTCAGGAGAGGCAGGGTCAGAGCCTGCCCGCCTCCTCAGTGCTGCTGCTCAGACCAGGCTTTCCTCAGAGGAGGGAGAAATACTTCCTCCCCTTGGCTGGTGTGCTCAGCTCCTGCGGGGCCTGATGGGGTGTTTAAGCCTGTTGGCCCTTCTGGGTAGTAACTGGCTTATCTGGTGCCTGGTGGGGGGTTCAGGAGTTGCCCTATGTTACCTGCCACGTTGTAGCTTGTAATAGTCAGTGTGAGAAGTTGGCGCTTCTGGGGCTTGAGTGCAGAACAGGGCTAGACTCAGCTCTCTGTGTCCAGCTCGTCTAGTTAAGTGCCCACCAGAAATGAAAAGCAAAACAAAGGCGTGTCATCTTTAACTTGTCAGATAAAATGGCAGATTTTTCTATTACTTGAAAAAAAAAAAAAGAACCATTCCTACATTGACTCAGGGCTTTGAAATAAACTGCTTCTATATTCTGGTGAAAATGGGAATTAACCTCCTACTTCTCTGGGGGCAATCTTTGTGATATGCAGCATCAGTTTTTTTTTATGTTTTATTTATTTACTTGTTTATTTATTTATTTATTGCTTTTCGGATCACACCCAGCAACCCTCAGGGGTTGCTCCTGGCTCTGCACTCAGGAATTACTCCTGGCAGTGCTTTGGGAACCAGATGGGATGCCGGGGATCGAACCTGGGTCGGCCACATGCAGGGCAAATGCCCTACCCGCTGTGCTATCGCTCCAGCCCCGCAGCATCAGTTTTAAAAGACAGAATTTTCAGTGTTTCTCATAATTTATCCTGAAAATTTTTGTATGTAAATTTTATTTTTTTAATTTTTATTAAGTCATCGTGAGATACACAGCTACAAAGTTGGTCATAATTGGGTGTCAGCCATACAAAATTCCAATCCTGTCCCTCCACCCGTGCACATTCCCCACTGCCAGCGTCCCCAGTTTCCCTCCTGCCACCCTCCCGTATGTGATTCTTAGTGTCAGATTTGAAGAAAGATTCAGAATGAACCAAGTGCTTAAGATTCCAGAAATGATTGGAGCCTGCATCATCTACATCTTAAAATCCCAGACTGCCTTTAAATTGCTTTGAATATTTAATAAGGAGAAAGTGCTTGTTATATAAAAAGGTAAACAGAATAAATTATGATCCCCCAGAAGAGAAAATGGGATCACGTTTATGCGGCAGAAACAAGATGCCCTGAGTTCTAGGAGGTATTTTTATTTATCCTCATTTCATATTCGGGGACCACTCCTCATGCTGCTCGGTCAGCTGTGCCAGGTGTCGTTTATCTTGGTTTAGGGCCACACCTTGCTGTCCTCAGAGCTTACTGTGCTCAGGCCTCACTCCTGGCGTGCTCCACGGACCATCTGCGGCCCCGAGGATGAAACCTTTGGTTGGCCACATGCAGAGCAAAGTGCCGTACCTCATGATCTTTAAATGAGGAAACAACACATTCGTTTAATGGGGTGCTTTAATGGGATTTTCTAGTGAGATTACTCCATGATTCTCAGTTTCTCTCAGGAGCTATTTGTAAATGGACTTTACTTCCATACTGGGAGGGTCGCTGTCGTAAGTTACTTTGGAATCTTCTTCTGGACCCTAAATCGCCCCTGTTGGTCTCTTTGCTTCCCCATATCCCCCAAGAACTTAAGATCATTCTTTTATAATGATCTATGTAAAGGGAAAATTTGAAATAATTTAGATTTATAGTGTTATTCTGTCCCTCCTTTCCCACGTATGATTTTTTTTTTCTTTTTTACAAATGAAAATGTTTAAACATGCAAGACAAGCTGGAAGCATTTTCTAGTCGGCCCGTCCAAACGGGAGCACTGGACGGACTCTTTCCTCTTGTCCAACCACTGTTGGTTTGTCCCAGTCTCTAGCTAGGGGCCTGAGTGGCAGGCATCAGGAGATTTTCCAGAATTGAGCAGCTTTTAGGCTTAAGAGTGCTGGTTTAGGGACTCTTCAGTGACTTGCAGGAGAAGTATACGGTTAAACTAAATATTTCAGCGTGAGATTTAAGCCCAGCCCAGGAGGGTGACTTGAGTAGCCCGTCCATTCCCATTAGGGCTTAATGTTCTGGGGAGAACAGTGATTTTAAATAATCGTGGCACCGCGGGATCGGGCAAGTGTGGGTGTTTCAAAAGGCTCCATTTACTCATTTGAGTTCTGATTGATTTTAAAATTATTTACAAATAAAAAGTAGATTTAAAAAATTCAGTTAATTGCCTAGACAGGTTTCCCCACAGTCTGAAAGTAAAGTCTTTTATTTGCTTGGTTTTGGGGAAACTGGCTATTATTCGTTTATATAAAAATTTTTTCAAGTGTTACCAGGCCCTGAAATAACCTACCAAATCTTACCAGATAGGAATTTTTGCTTAATCTCCATATTACATGAAGTAAATGTTGACTTTTTTGTGTCTAGAAATGTCTTTTTTTTTTTTTTTAATTTTTATTGGTGAAACACCATGAGGTGCAGTTGTAGACTTACAAATTTTTGTGCTTGGTAGAAATGCCTTTAAAATTTGGAGTGTTCGGGGCTGGAACAATAGCACAGTGGGGAGGGCATTTGCCTTGAACGTGGCCGACCCAGGTTCAATTTCTGGCATCCCATGTGGTCCCCCAAGCACTGCCTGGAGTAATTCCTGAGTGCATGAGCCAGGAGTAACCCCTGAGCATTGCTGGGTGTGACCCAAAAAGCCCCCCCCCCCCCAAAAAAAAAAATTGGAATGTTCTGGATAAGAATTGAGTGTTGAAAGTGGGTAAGGGGATATATGTGATAACCTGTCAGTACCTGAATTGCAAGTCATAATGCTGAGAAAGGAGAGGGGTAGGGAAGGAGGAAGGAAGGGAGAAAGGGAGAGAGAGAAAGAGAGGGAGAGGGAGAGGGGAAGAGGAGGGAGAGAGGAAGAAAAAGAGAGGGAGAGAGAGACGGAGGGAGAGAGACTGGGGCGTGGGTGGTGGGAACTGAATACCGGTATTGGCAGGGTGTTGGAACATCCTGTGACTGAAACCCAATCATGAACAGCTTTGTAACTGTATATCTCATGGTGATTCTATAATTTTATCTTTTTTTTTAACGTGGAGTGTTTTGGACTGGGCAGATGACTCTCGTAGATGACTAGCTTGAGTGAGAGCCTGAGATCCAGCCTCAGAACCGCACGACCCCCCCCCCCCCCCTCCCCGCGCACCACCAGCTACGGCGCCCGATGCCCGTAAACTAAAATGCTGACATACTCCCTGGAGGCCACTCAGCTGCAGAGCAGTGACTGGGGTGGGAAGCTCAGGGTCCATTCTGGGGGAAAAAGGGTGTGTTTTTGGTTTTGATTTTAACTGTACTACACTTGTTAGTTCTAAGTAGATACGATATAGTGATCGTATGTCTTTAAACTGTGCAGTGGATGTGGGTTTGAATGCGTGTAGTATCCTGAACACCCACACTCTCTGTTTCCCATCTTTTAAAAACCAGTGAAGAAGAGGAGGAACTGGCACAGGCACGACTACACCGAGATCGACGATGGTTCCAAACCTGTGCAGGCTGGGACGCGCACGTTTGTGAAGGAGCTGCGTTCTCGAGTCTTCCCCAGGTATGGAAAGGTGACGAGAGCCGCCTTATCTGGAGCGGTGGCTTTGAACTTTAGATGGCAGCTTGTTTCTCTCACTTGGAGTTTAATTTACGTTCTTTTCTTTACTTTCTTTTACTTTCCGTGACACAGGACGGAAAATTGCAGTATTCTGCAAAGAGCTGGGAGTCAGAGTAGTTCCAAGGGGCGCGTGTGCTCTACGGGGTCCCCTAGTCACAGCTGTGAGGGCCAGTCCCCAAAGTTCGTACTGGATTGGTCTGCGGGGCACTTCCCAGGGCTGGTTCCCTGTGGTCGGCTGCTGCTGCCTCTGTCTCCCCGTTACACCTTGATTTCAAATTTGCATTCCCTTATTTTGTTTTTGTTTTTGGGGTCACACCCAGCAATGCTCAGGGGTTACTCCTGGCTCTGCACTCGGGAATTATTCCTGGTGGTGCTCAGGGGACCAATACGGGGTGCCGGGTATCAAACCCGGGTCTGCCTTATGCGAGGCAAGTGTCCTCCCCACCGTACTTTTGCTCCAGCCCAGCTTGTTTTGCCTTCTTTAAATTGCAATTTGAGGCTTTTCATGTTCCTGGAACAAGCAGATGCCATTGGGCTACACTAGCACGCGACAGGGACGAATAGAGACGTTACTGGCGCCCACTCGAGCAAATCGATGAGTAACGGGATGTCAAGTGATCAAGTGATTATTATTATTATTTTTTTTTTTTTTGCTTTTGGGGCCACAGCCAGCTATGCTCAGGGGTTACTCCTGGGGGTGCTTGGGGGACCATATGGGATGCCGGGGATCGAACCCAGGTCGGCCGTCTGCAAGGCAAATGCCCTGCCCGCTGTACTGTCTCTCCTGCCTCTATTATTTTTTTTAACGCAAGGGGACATTCTCTCGAGCAAGGCCTGGGGATGGAACCAGGGTCGGCCACGTGGAACACAAGTCTTCAGCCCCTTACAGCTCTCAGGCCCCAGCCCGGTTAGGCCCCCGCAGGTGGGCCTCTGCCCTGAGCCTGTGGAACTTGGCCCCTGACCTTTGCCCAACCTCTCACGTGGCAGCAGGGCCAGATTCTCTGATTTTTAAAGATAATGGAAAGTTCCCTGTGTTATCTGTGGCTCGAAGAGCGAGCGTCAGAAGCATTTATATAGCATTTAATCATGCTAATTGAGATCATTTTCTTCTCACCGCCTGACATCTATTTAGAGTGATAATGCTTAAATGGCTTTTACACCAGATCATAGCCAGGCGTGCTCAAGAGGGGAAGTACAATTTAAATTTAAATCACAATATCACATGCAGCCTATTATGGCATTATTTCAGAGCTGTACCCGGCAATCCCTGGCTACTTCTTCACAGTATCAGGAACCCGTTCTCTCCCCTCCCTTCACCCTGGACTGGACTCCCAGGCCAAAGCACCTGGAGTCAAGGCCCCTCGCAGCCTCCCCTCACGGACAGGTGTTTGCTCCTTGCTTGGTGCAGCCCAGGGCCGGGCTTTGTGCCCGAGACTGGGCTGCTCGGGAGAGAGGCGGGAGCTCCCGGTTACTGTGTCAGCACGTGGCATCTGGGGTGCTTGTGTGCCTTCCCGGGGGGAGGAGGTGGGGTGCAGAGGGACACACCTGGCAGTGCTCAGAACTTACTCCTGGCTCTGTGCTCAGGAATTACTCCTGACTCTCTGCTCAGGAATTACCCCCTGGCGGGGCTCTGGGCATCATATGGGATGTCAAGGATGAAACCCGGGTTGGACACGGGCAGGGCAAGTGCCCGCCCCACTGTGCTCTTGCTCCAGTCCCACTCCCAGAGAGATGAGGTGGGTTTTTTTTTCTGTTTTTTTCCTTTTTTGTTTTTTTTTTTTTCTGGCTTGGGGCCACATCCGGCAGTGCTCAGGGTAAAGTTATGCCTGGCTCATCACTCAGGTATCACTCCTGAGTAGTGCTCGGTGAACCATATGGGGTTCGGGATCAAACTTGGGTCGGCTGCATGAGAGGCAAACACCCTACCTGCTGTACTGTCTGTACGGTCTCTCCAGGTCTAACAACCCGAAAGAGTAGCAGTTAAAACGACCCTTTTCCTGCTGTTAGTAGTGCTCGTAACTCCCAGGGCTTCTGCCAAAGCAGAGCCCAGAGAGCAGGGCGGGGGCTGGTCGCAGATGGCCAGCTGGGATCCGTCTCCGTCCATTCAGCCCTGTGCACTGCGAAAGGAATGAACTGAGCCCCCGTCCGGATGTGATTCACAAAGAGGGATTTGCACTACAGTGAGCAGGGCGGCGCCCCATCACATTTAAATGTTTGGGTCCAAGTGATAGTACGGTGGGTTCGGAGACTCCAGTGCCTGTGGCCGACCCGTTCAATCTCTGATACCACACATGAGTGTAGAGCCAGGAGTGAGCCTTGAGCACAGCTGGGTGTATGCTGCGCCCTGCCCCCCTTCAAAGAAAGAAAGCCAACAATAAAAGACACATTTAGAATGTTTAAATGGGGGCTGGAGTGATAAGGTGAGTGATAGGACACTTGCCTTGCACACGAACAACCTGGTTTATGGGATACCACGAGCCTTGCCAGGAGTGATTCCCTGAGCACAGAGCAAGGAGTAAGCCTGAACTGGGTGTGGCCCCAAAACCAAAAAATAAAATATTTAAGTGTAGAGTTAATTGTCTTCAACACATATATTAATCATTAAAGAACGGGTGGTTTGAGGCCCTACCTGGTGGTTCTCAGGGGTTACTCCTGGCTCTGCACTCAGGGATCACTCCTAGAGGTGCTCAGGGGACCACATGGGGTGCCAGGGGTCAAACCCAGCTCAGCTGCATGCAAGGCAAGTGCCCTGCCCACTGTTCTATATACATCTTTGAAAAGAGTTGGGGTTATATGTATTATGTAAGGTTTTTTTTTTTTTACTTAGTAAAAACATAGAGGTTTTTTTTTTACTTTATTTATTTCATCGACCTGCGTCCCAGACTTTAAGAGTTTTTCCCCACTTCACTGCTGTGTGGGTGGTATGCAGTCATGTGTGTATACCCTGCAGTTAAACAGCCCCCAAGGATGTTCAGTTTATCTCTTGGAAGTTACAGCATACCTGTATTTTTAAAAACGCTTGTATTTGGGCCAGAGTGATAGTACAGCAGGGAGGGCGCTTGCCTTCCATGTGGTTATCCGATTTCAGTTCTTGGCATCCCATGTGGTTCCTTAAAACCGCCAGGAGTGATTCCTGAGTGCAGAGCCAGGAATAACCCCTGAACATTACTGGTGTGACCCAAAACCAAATAATCCCCCCACTCCCCCATCCAAAAAAACCCCCAGCAACAACAAAACAACCAAACAAAGAAACCACTTGTATCTAGTATTTTTGTTTGACAGTGACCGAAAAATACATACTTTGGTGCAAAACACATTGCACATTTCAGATCAGGGAGTTCAAGTGATTTAGGATTTTCCTGGGAGAGTCTTTAAACTCACAGGTTCCTGGAGAAGACTAGCAAGGGAAGAGGGTTAGATGTGGAGGCTTAGGGGAAGCCAAGGACAGTGTGTAACTCTTTGTCAGAGGATGGAGTTCCAAGTCTTCCACTGAGGAGACTCGGGGAAAGTCCGTTCTGCGTGTCTGCAGCCCCAGACTGACCTTCCATTGTTGAGAGGAAGGGGAGGAAGGTCTGATTCAGGGGCCTCTTTCTTGGCCACTCCCTCTGACACATTAGACTGTAGGTGACAGACTCTCAGGTGTGGTTGTCCAAATGGAAATGGGTGTTACTGTTACTGTTACTGTCCTCCCGTTGTTCATCGGTTTGCTGGAGCGAGCCCAGTAACATCTCCATTGTGAGATTTCTTGTTGCTGTGTTTGGCATATCGATTACATCACAGGTAGCTTGCCAGGCTTTGCCATGCGGGCGAGATACTCTTCGGTAGCTTGCTGGGCTCTCCGAGAGGGGCAGAGTAATCCAACCTGGGTCAGCTGGGTTGGCCGTGTGCAAGGCAAACGCCCTACCCGCTGTGCTATCACCCCAGCCCAGAAATGGACATATTTCCACCAATAATTTTGAGTGCAAAGCAGCAACGCTTTGTGGCAATTGGGAGAGGGACATGTGGCGTCTTCTCCCGTAAGGACATCTGTTGCTCTCTGGACGTACGATTAGCTCCAGGTGGAAGAGAGGGTTCCTCCACCTTTCTACCCCAGTGGACCAGCACCTGTCCTGCATCCCACTTCCCAGACTAGCAGTGATAATGGAGATGGGGGACCAGTGGTTTCCCACTGTCCTCCCCCTGCGGACCCGCACCAGTCTGCAGCCCTTGCTCTTTGAGCTCCTAGACAACTTGTGTTGATCAGTGTTTGCCCTTGTACATCTCCTAAGTTCAGTCAGTCCTTAAAGCTGCAGGCCTGCAGCTACCATTCCACTGTGCTCATGGGATGATGTTCCCAGACCTCTCCCGTACTCGGAGCTGAATCGTTGCACTCTGGGCATTTGATGTTACGTGCATACACATTTCCAGTCAGATGTGATGAAGTCATGACCTACCAGTTTTGCTTAAGTTCAGCAAAAAGGGTTTCAGGAAACATTCTCTCTAAAAAGGGAGTCTTGGGTTTGCCAGGCCGAGAGCCACCGAGACCATCAGCGATCCAGCGTTTGATAAAACTCTTGGCAGAACTTTTTTTTTTTTTTTTGCTGAACTGATCCACAATGCTGACATTTCCTTCTTTTGCTTTCCTCAGCGCCGAGGAGGTCATTGTGAAGATGCACGGCAGCCAGCTCACACACAGGTTCCTGGAGAAGCATGGATTTGAGGTCCCGATCATGGTGCCCAAGTTAGACGATCTCGGACTCAGGCTCCCCCCGCCTACCTTTTCTGTTCTGGATGTGGAACGCTATGTAGGTACGAAGCCGACTCCGTTCCGTATGCGGGGGAACGCGGGGCAGGAAACGATCACGACCCACCCGCGCAGAAAGCTGCAAGGAGAGAGCTCCCTGAGTGCCTCGCCTGTGCGGGGAGGGGAAATGTAAGGTCACCGCTGTCGGAACCGTTTTCTCAGGAGACCAGGGTTCCGGCAGAACAGAAGCAGCCATTCTTGCCTGTTCAAATTCCTCGGACTTGTCTGCTGCCCTTTTGGGTTCTTGTCACCATTTCAGATACTTGGCTAGGAAACTTGATCACCGAGGAAGAAGGTGTGGTACAGGGATTGCTTCTTGGTGTCTGTGTAGAATCCAGGTTGAAGATTACTGCCCCAGGACCCCAACTGCAGAGTTCTTCCTCAGGGACCTCCCTTACTGGGCGCCTGCAGCCTAGAGAAAGGCAGTAAGAAAGACTCTGTCACTTGCCTTTTTTTTTTCCTTTTGTCTTTTTGAGTCATACCGGCAATCCTCAGGGTTTACCTCTGGATCTATACTCAGGAATTACTCCTAACAGTGCTTGGGGAATCATATGGGATGCCGGGGACTGAACCCAGGTCGGCTGCATGCAAGGCAAATGCCCTGCCTGCTGTATTATTGCTCCGGCCCCAAGATGCTGTAGCTTTCGAGTTTTTGTGGTCAGTGACCTGAAGGTACTGCCATTGCATGCTGTCTATACTTGATGTGTGACTTGGGCCCTGGAAAGCATAGGACGCCAGGGGACGACACTGATTTGGGGAACCCTCGTGTCTTGTAACATTGATGCTCTGTTGAGGATTCCACAGTTCTCAGCCTGGAATTTGCAGTTGAGGCTGGTGCTATGTACCCAACACTCCTTATCAGCCATGGGAACAGATCTCGCTGAGAATTAGAGTGCAAATTGATCTGGACTCAGAATCCTGACTCAGGGCCGCTGCAGCATCAGAGATCTTAGAACTTACACCTTTATTGCTGCTTCTCTCTGGTAACCATGTTACTAGAAAATTCAGTGGAGCGGCATGACCTTCCTATTCAGCTAATTTTGAATGTCTGAGTAAGTAGATGAGACTGCTTTAACCACTGGCATAGGTAGCTCAAAAAATACTGATCAGCCCAGAGAGATGGCTCAGAGAGAAAGAGCGTGGGGCCCCCGGGGCTGCACAGAGTGACCCTCCAAGCTCTAAACTGGGAGTAGTCTCCAAGCATTGCCAGGTGTGGCTCAAAACCAAAGATAGCAGTAGCAGCAATACAATAGAAATAATTTGGTATACATTTAGGGAAAGTTCAACTGCTTGGTAGCTTGATAGCAAAGCTCTTCAGTTAATGGAGTTGTTTTGCCTTTTGGGGGGTCTTTTTTTGTTTTTTGGCCACACCTGGCGATGCTCAGGGGCTACTCCTGGCTCTGCACTCAGGGATCACTCCTGGCACTGCCCAGGGAACCATATGGGATATCAGGGATCCAACCCAGGCTGATCCGTAAAAGGCAAACACCCTGCCCAGTTTGCTGTTGCTCCAGCCCCACGTTGTTTAGCCTTTTAAAGATAAAACTGAACGTGGAACCAGGCTGTCCACTCTTAATCTAGATCAAGAAAATGGCATTTGTGTGTTTTCTACTTCACGTTGGTTAAGATCGCCGTACTTGGAATTCCACCTGCCCTGTATGACACGGCAAAGCTGATGAACCTTTCGTAGGGTGGCAGTGCAGCAGAATGTAAGCAACATTACACAGATTGGCAAGAAAACGGTCAAGGAATCTGAATTCAGAATTCAGCTCACAGGCGCTGATGCACACTGCCTTCCGCTTCCTAACCACTCATGTCTTTCTTGCAACAGGGTGTAAAAAGACTCTGCCAGGTGAGCGGAAGTTGTTGGTCCTGGCTAACTTGTGCAGTCATTCTCCAGTGCCTGAGTGGGTGTTCAGAGTGCTAGGGAAAAGTGAAGGGAAGAGACTGGGTCCCTCACTCCTTGCCCAAGGAGATTGGAACCCAGAGTGGGGGCCCCGTGTCTACGCGGCAGCCTGAGGTGGTCTTGTCAGGAGGAGCTGCACCCAAGACACCACTGACATGAAAAGCTTTGGGCCCAAATAAAGACGTTTGAAATTTATGTAGATGCATAAAATGATAATAAAAGGTATCTGAAGTTCAAAAAAAAAAGAAAGAAAGAAAAGCTTTGAAAACCTGATAAGTTTTTGTGCTCAAGGTTAATTATGCAGCTCTATCTTAATTGTCTGATTCTTTTCCTCGAAAAGCTTCCTTTCTCCAAAAGTTCCCATTGGATTTTTAAAAGCAAGCACACAGAAAAATTATTGTTTAGGCGCTGGAGTCTGATACTTGGCTTTATTATTATACGCAGTGTACATGGTCCTTCAGTTACTTTTGTTTCAGGCCTCTATTGATGCGGCTCAGAAGCCCAGTAATGAGACTGTAATTTTTCTCTGCAGGTGGCGACAAAGTGATAGATGTCATTGACGTGGCAAGGCAGGCAGACAGCAAAATGACGCTTCACAATTACGTTCAATACTTCATGAATCCTAACAGACCAAAAGTGTTAAATGTGATCAGCCTTGAATTTTCAGATACAAAGTGAGTAGCTCTGGACGTTTCAGTGTAGCTTTCTGAGTGTTCCCTAAATGTCGTTTAATGAGAATTAATTTTAGTAAGAAAACAGAATTGTGACTTCTGAAGTGGTCCAGTGATAGCAATGTTGTAAATTTTTCTTTGACACACTCAGAGACTATTGAGAAAGAAGATGAGTTTTGAAGTTGCATTTATTAACCTTAACTTTCTGTTGATTTCTTGGTTTGGGTTAAGTTGGGAGATACAATTTTAAGGAGTTTTCATTTGCACATTGTGGGTATGGTGTTTGTGTGTATATGTATTTGTGTATCCTTGTTATTTTTTTAAGTGCTCAATCCCTTTTTTTTTTAAATTTAATTCAATTTTTTTTAATGTATCACCATGAGATACAGTTACAGACTTATAAACTTTCATGCTTACGTTTCAGTCATACAATGATCAAGTACCCATCCCTCCACCAGTGCCCATTCTCCACCACCAATGATCCCAGTATCCCTTCCCCCAACCCCCCCCTCCCGTGGCAGGCGCATTCCCTTTTATTCTCTCTCTTGCTTTGGATGTTATGGTTTGCAATACAGATATTAAGTGGCCATCATGTTTGGTCTGTAGTCTACTTTCAGCACGTGTCTCCCATCCCGATTGGGCTCTCCAAGCATCCTGTACTTGGTGGTCCCTTCTCTATCTGATCTGCCTTTTCCCCCAGTGTGTGAGGCCAGCTTCCAAACCATGGAGCAATCCTCTTGGTCCTTATCTCTACTATCCTTGGGTGTTAGTCTCCCATTCTGTTACTTTATATTCCACAAATGAGTACGATCTTTCTGTGTCTGTCCCTCTTTTTCTGACTCATTTCACTTATGTTTTTTTTAAGGATGTCTGAGTTGGTGGAAGTTCCTGATATTGCCAGAAAACTTTCCTGGGTAGAAAATTATTGGCCAGATGACTCAGTCTTTCCCAAGCCATTTGTTCAGAAATATTGCTTAATGGGTGTTCAAGACAGCTACACAGATTTCCACATTGACTTCGGTGGCACTTCAGTTTGGTACCACGTTCTCTGGGTAAGAAAGGAATATTTCTTTTTTTTGCATTTATTTTATTATTATTAGTTTTTGTCACTGTGTATACAAACCCTTATTAGGAGGGCTTCAGGCAAGAACTGTTCCAGCACTACATCCTGCGCAATTCTGTCTCTCCATACCCCCCAGACCAGAGATCATTCTCTGTCTGTCTCTCTCCTGACTGCGCTCAGCATAACTTCAGCCCCACCCGCCTGGCAGCAAATGTCAGACTTCATTCATTCCTATAGCCTCATAGTACTTCATTGCAGGCAGGTAGCACAGTGTCACCTGATCTTGGATGCTTGGGTTACTTCCAGATTTTGGCTGTGGAGACAGCGCTGTGGTGAACACAGGAGTGTAGATGACCTTTTATGAATTGGGTTTGGGGACCCTTGGGGTTGATGCCTGGGCTGGGTTGGTGGTGGATTATTTGTCCTTTTCCTGACAGAAGCATGCTGTCACATTTTACTTATACCAAGGGAAGCTTTTGAACTTCCTAAGGAGGGCCTGTCATTTTTTTTTTTACTCACCTTCACCTTTTTATTCATGTGCCATGATTCACAAAACTGTTAATACTATTTTCATTCTTATCCCAAGTAGCGAAGGAGGCATGAGTTCTTCATTTTAGTTTTTAGTTAGCCTTTTGACTTTTTAAAAAACATTTTTTTCTTAACTCTTGCTAAAATCTGAAGCAAATACCTAAAGAGGGGTGAAATTGCAGTAAGATTCACTTCTGATGTTAAGGGTGGGAGTAGGACTAGTTGGAGAAGTCAGCGATGTAGTCATTTTTTTTTTTACCTTTTTACCTTGCTTTTCCAAGAACTGTGCTACTTAATACAGTAGCTGTAGATGTGAATAATTGAAGGTACGTGTAAATGAAATTCTAGCTCTCCACTTCCGTTAGCCAGTCAGGAAGGCACCCAAGGCTATATGCACAGCTCAGGACAGCAGAGAGCCACCCTCGCCATCCTTACAGAAAGTTCTGTTGGCACTGACCAGAGCTGGATCTCCGCCCATGTCAGGCCTGGTAGGAAAGCTCTGGAATCCATTTGGTGCTCTGTCCTTGGGCTCCTGTTTCTTCATGATAAAGCAAAGGGTCAGTTCACTAAAAGGAAGTTTATTTACAGGCCCCTGAAAGCAATCACTATATTGTAGTAGATCTAAGGGGCAAGGGCAGAGTTTGCAGGGGAGACTGTAACTGGGGCCTGGGAATATGCATTTGCACCTTACTCTTGAAACTGAGATCAGTGGCTTGATGGTGATTCTTTCCTCTCCTCTCTCAGAACCATTTTCCCAGCACTTTCCTTGCTCCTCCTCCTTCCTGTTGCTCTTGCTCAGGTAAAGAGACTTATTAAGGGCAATAACTAGTGATTGGGTATGCCCTTTTGATCCTCAAAATTCTGATAATTGTCTTGAAGTGAGAGCAATGCGTTGGGAATTTGTACTAATCTAGGAAATCGTGAGCATGTCTCTTTTTCAAAGACAGTGTTATTATTCCTTTCTAGGGTGAGAAGATTTTTTATTTGATAAAACCAACAGATGAAAATTTGGCACTCTACGAATCTTGGAGTTCTTCCGTGACCCAGAGTGAAGTGTTCTTTGGTGAGAAGGTGGATAAATGCTACAAATGTGTGGTGAGACAGGGACACACCTTGTTTGTCCCCACAGGTAAGGTCACTTTCCATCCCTGCCCCATCGCTGCTGCTTAGTTACACGCTGTCAGATTCTAGTTAGAGCCTCTGGCTTAAACATATTGCTGGGTTCTGTGTTGTTTTCATTGTTTATTTGTTTTTATTTTTGTTTTGGGGCCACACCAGCCACTGCTGGGGATCTAACCTGGACATTCTACATTCGGAGTATGTGCTTTGTGCATTGAGTTACTTCTGTTGCCCTGTGTTTTGCAGGGCCCAAGTTACACTCTGATCCTTTTTTAAAAATAACTTTATTAAGTCATTAGTTACAGACATTCAGTATTCCAACACCAGTCCCACCTCCATTGCTCCTTCCCACCACCATTATTTCCAATTTTCCCAACCATCTTTGAACCTGCCCCCAACGCAGGCCCTCAGTAATTTATTTTACATTGCTTGTTATAAATAATTTGCTAAAAGGATGATCCAAAAATGTTTCCTTAGGAGAAAGTTAGTGAAGATTGTTTGTATCTCACCATGGAGCCCTTAAACCCTTGTATAAGAGATTTACTAAGATGTTGTTACACGTCAAGCCTTCTGTGTTTATATTTTGTTAATCGAGCTTGATTGCCTTCTACGTTATATCCCATCCAATCTGTGTGTTAGTCCTGGTTTATCAGTGTTACAGAGTTTGAGATGTTGTGCGCTTCAGGGTGTCCAGAATTTTTAATGGGGTTATGGATCCGGAGTTAAATTCTTTTTTTTGATATTTGGGTCATACCCGGTGATGCTCAGGGGACCTTTTGGGATGCTGGGAATCGAACCCAGGTTGGCCGTGTGCAAGGCAAATGCCCTACCTGCTGTGCTCAGCCCCCGGAGTTAAATTCTTAACTGACTGGCGGCTTCTGGGTGAGTGAGTGCTGGGCTTCAAGAAGTACAAGAAGATAGGTGGGAGATAGACCATCCCCCAGTCCCTTGAAAGCTGGAGATTTTAGTCACAAAACCCACATACCTGGGTTTTTCAACAAATTAATTTCTGGATGAAACTCGTCCAAGCAGTGAGGTCCAGTCTGGAGCATGATGGCGATTGTGGGGTGTGAAGGTTTTCAGCTGCCGAGGCTCCAGGTGGATGCAGGGGATTACCCGCCCCTGGGACAACTCAGCCTTGTTCGGACCCGGGAGAAATGCTGCCACTTGTTGATCTCTCCTGAGATTTATTTCTGAGTTTCTGGATCCTGGCCAGTGAGAGCAGTGCCAGGGTTTGACCACTCTGATTTTAACGTTTCCCCTCACATTGTACTGGTCCAGTGTTATAAGGAGTATCCTCCAGTTCCTCTGAGCTCCACTTGGGAGGCCCCACCTCCCCCCAATCCTTTGGTCTTTCTCTGGGGATCGAGGGGCCCCCAGGAAGTGTTTAGGGAGCCTGGGTCCCGTTGCTGGCACTGTTTGACCAGAGAGTCTGGTGATGGCCTGAGGATGCATAGCCGCTAGGCCCAGTGGTGCTCAGGGGGCTGCAGGGCTCCCTCCAGCAGTGCTCGGGCTGGATGGTGCCCTCACCCATCCAGCCCTCACCCCTGTGCTCTCTCCCCAGTATTAAAGTTAGGCTTCCTTTCTGTTGTTGAATATAGGCATTGGTGATATTTTCTCTCTCTTAGACCCATATCATATGTGACTTTCATATACTTTTCTCTCAGTTTGTGGGCTATATTTTTAACTTATTAAAATGTCTTTCAGATAATTTAAACACACACACACACACACACACAAACTTTTGGTGATGTTCCCTTTCGTTTTAACTGGTCAGTGGTTCTTCATTGCTTTTTTGGTTTTGTTTTATGGGCCACAACCAGTGGTGCTTCGGGCTTAACCCCTGGATCTGCTCCTAAAAATTGCTCTTGGTGGGGCTCCCTGGACCCCTGCCCATATGGGGTGCCAGGGATTGAACCCAGGCCAGGCGCATATAAGGCCAGTGCCTTACCCACTGTACTATCTCTCTGGCCCCCTCTTTTTAAATTTGACTTTTTATATTTTTTCCCTTTTGTTTTTGGTGTGGGGGGGTCACACCCAGCAATGCATAGGGGTTACTCCTGGCTCTGCACTCAGAAATTACTCCTGGCGGTGCTCAGGGGACCCTATGGGATGCTGGGGATCGAACCTGGGTCAGCTGCATGCAAGGCAACTGCCCTGCCCGCTGTGCTATTGCTCCAGTCCTTTTTAACTTTTTCATCGTTCTCTATTGCTGTCCACGGCCGCGCCTGTCATAAGAAAATAGTGAAGGCTGGGGGATCTCCTGCGGGGGTGGCTTCAGAGCACGTGGTTGTTCGAGGATCCTGACAGAGGCTGAGGGTCAGCCTCCCCGGAGCTGCACACATGTGCACAGTGCATCATGCTGATGTGTGGCTGTGTGAGGCCTGTGGGCTCACCGCTCACAAAGTTACACAGAAAATCCCCAACAGCGGCATCCACCAAGCCTTTCTCTGCTTTGTCCTGGACCACACTTGGGTCAGGGCTTTTGTGTGAAAACTCAGGCAGTTGAGAGGGATGCAGGTGACAGAGTCTGCTCTGCCGGCGACGCAGAGCACCAAGCTTCAGCTGCAGTCTTGAGGTGCTGATTTCTCAGCTGCCGTCCCAGCGCCTCCTGTTGGGGGCTGAGTGCTGAAACCCACTGACGGACTCGCCTCTTGCTCCGCAGGGTGGATTCACGCGGTGCTCACGTCTCAGGACTGTATGGCGTTCGGGGGCAACTTTCTGCACAACCTTAATATTGGCATGCAGCTCAGGTCGGTAGCCCCCTATCTTCCAGGGCCTCACGCCCTTCCTCAAGTGGACACTGTGTCACCATTGTCAGTGCGTCGGGTCCCCGCCTCTTCCAGTTATCCGTTCACGGAGAGAGGCTCCGGGAAGTGGGGGGAATATGAAATACTTTCCCCAAAGTGGGGTCTTGAGCTCTTGTCAGGAAGAGACACTGGGAACATTTTCTAATTGGAAACCGAAAGAGTAATCTTCAGTGTGGGACTAACCTTGTTGGTTTTCCAAACTGCCGAAGAGACGGGCCTTCCTCTGGGGAGGAGCAGGCATTGCCCACAGCATCGTGCTTTGCTCTTCTCTCCGTCGGTTGGAGACTGTGGTGTGTGGGCACCTCATGGCAAACTCCAGGATGGTTCCGATGGACAGACTCCGTCAGGACTAGGGCTCAAGGACTCCCTGGCAGGAAGCCCGTTGTGGGATGTCGGGACCCCGTTTCTTTGACCTGGCCCCAACATGCAGTTACTTCAGGGCTTGTGGCCCCCATAAAGCCTGCAGCGTTAGGCCAGTGCTGCTCCTCACAGCCCAGTCGCAGGGTCTCGTGTCTCTGTCCCCGAGTGGTCCCGGAGCTCCTGCTGCCAGGCTGTGCTGTGGCGGCCGTGGTTTCTGTCAGCCGCCTCACTGGTCCCCACACCCTAGCGTGACCCCTGAGTGGGACCGAAGGAAAGCACCCTGGGCATGCGTGGCTGCAGGGAGCTGGTCTAGCCACACAGCTAGACAGTTGGGGGGACCCTGTCAAGTCAAGGTCCTTCTGGGGACGTTAGGATGCAGACCCCAGGGTGTAATCTCCCAAGGGCCAATGTCGCTCTGCACCACGGTGTGGGTTGTGTGAAGCTCCGCCCTGGGGAAGCTCCTCATCCTCCCGTCTCGTCCTGATGCGCGTGTTGATTCCCTTCACACGGGACTCAGGGCCTCGGTGTCCCAGCGGCCGCATTTATTCTCCTTCAGTGTTGTTCAACTTGGAAATACCTGTCCTAATGTTCAGTTTCTTCACCTTTCACCCGTTAGGTGTTATGAGATGGAGAAACGGCTGAAAACACCAGACCTTTTCAAATTCCCTTTCTTCGAAGCCATTTGTTGGTTTGTAGCCAAAAACCTGCTGGAAACCCTGAAAGGTAAAGGGTGTTGTGCCAATGTGTGTCTGTTTTGGGGTGGGGGGGTGTACAGGGTGGGGAAGCCCTGGCCAGTGCTCCGCCTGGGACCCCTTTCCATGTGAAGTGCCCTGTTTCCCTCTGCCAGCCAGTGTTTTAGCAAAGTAGCATCCCTGCTCCGTGCTCTTCACAGTCGGGAAGATGCGTGGGGATGGCTCGAGTCAGGAGGCAAGTGCCCTGGTGGCCCCCGCGGCGCCCCTTCCTCCTGACACAGCTAGGCTACAGCCCTGCTGCCTCCCGAGTTTCCCAACAGCTGTTTCCAGACCTTGAGGGCGCGTGTCCTCGTCCCGAGAGAATCAGGCCGCTGTCCACTGACCCGTGTGTGGTCTCTGAGCCTAGAGCTGGGGGAGAACCTTCAGGAAGGAGCTCATCTTTCACTGAGCCCAACAGCTGCCTTGTGGAGTGGCTATCGGTGCTCCTGGCTTGGCTGGGACTAAAGGAACAGTCAGGTGGCGCCCAGAAGTCCTTCGGCCTCTTTCCCAGCGTTTGCTCCTGCATCCGTCCTACGACAGGGTGGCTCCACCTGCTTCCGGCTCTAGTTTACCTAGTTCTTTCGCAGCATGGCAACTCGAAGAACTCCAGGGGAGCAGTTAGAAACGGGTCAGCTGTAGCCTAGCATAACAGAAGCTCTGGCTTCTTTTCCCAGTTAGAAGTTACACAAGAAAAAGTCAAATAAAAGGAGGCGATCAAAACTTCCTAGGGTGACTGTGCACAGACTCAAGTGGCGAAGCACAGTCATGATCTCTCCTAAAAAGAAAATGGGACTCGTGGGTTTTGAGTCAGGGAGGCGGGGGGAGCGGGAAGGGACACAGTGCTGGGTGGGCATGGGGTAGATGTCTCCTGGTGCTGCCAGTGTGGGGGACAGAGGTGGGTCCCAGAGATGCGGGGAGCAGGCGCTCCCTGCCAGGACCTGTCTTTTCTCCAGACTTGCTCAGGGCTGACCAGGGTCCTGCCTGATCGCAGGAATACTGCCACCAATTACACACACTGGAGAGAGTTGCCGGTAAAAACCGCAGCGCCATATTCACAGCCTCCTGTCCAGATGTGAGCCCAGAAAAGCAGGCACGCTTAGAAATGCAGAGAGAAGTCGGCCGTATGCGAGGCAAGCGCCCTCCTCTCCATACTGTTGCTCTGGCCCAGATCTCTTAACTGTGTGCAGGGTCAGGATGAGTAACACAGAGGAGCCAATTTCGAAGGCTAGGAAGAGGAATCAGCCATTGAGCAGAAGTGAAATTTTTTGGTTTTGCTTCCCCTGAGCTGCATTTTCGACTGCATATAATTGACCTATTTTGCCTGAGTATTAAATAATTGGTTGGGTTTTTTTTTTTTTCACTTTTTTTTGGGGGGGAGGATCACACCCGGCAATGCGCAGGGGTTACTCCTGGCTCATGCACGCAGGAATTACTCCTTATGGTGCTTGGAGGACCATATGGGATGCTGGGAATTGAACCCGCGTCAGCTGTGTGCAAGGCAAATGCCCTACCTGCTATGCTAGTGCGCCAGCCCCTAAATAATTGTTAAAAAAAAAAAAACAACAACCACATGGGCCAGAGAGATGGTACAGCAGGGAAGGTGCTTGCCTTGCATGTGGCTGAGCCAGGTTTGATCCCCAGGTTTGGCACCCCAATTGCCCTCTGGGCTACCACCAGGAGTGATCCCTGAGTGCAGAGCCAGAAGTAAACCCTGAACACCACCTTAAAAAAAAAATAAACAAAACCACCAACAACAGGAAAAACTGTTTATTGCCTCTCCAAATAGTGACATTGTTAACGCCTGTGGCGAGCGTGTGACTCACACTCCACACGCACACGTGTGGACAGTTCCCAAGACTCACCGGGGCAGGCCCTTCCCAGGGTCGGAGGTCACAGCCTCGCAGAGACAGTGGATGGTTTCCTCTTTGCCCACGCGCCTCCTGCTTCTGCCACCCTAAACCCTTTGCTCAGCTTCCGTGCCCGTGGCCACACCAGCATCACTTTGCGCCTGTCACCCCCTCCAGGCTGACTCCCGGGCTTTCTCTGGAATGGGAGCCATCAGCCCGACTTTAGTGAGCTTCTCGGCTTTTGTCTCTCCCTTTCTGCCTTCCCCACAGTTTGTCTGAAGTGGGCCCCTAACTCCTCTCCTTCCTCTCTCCCCACAGAGCTGAGAGAAGATGGTTTCCAGCCGCAGACGTACCTGGTGCAGGGTGTGAAAGCACTGCATACGGCTCTGAAGCTGTGGATGAAGAAGGAAGTAGGTGGTTCTTTCTGTGGGGGGGGCTCCTTGGCGGTGTCAGCGCGCAGGGCTCTGCCCCCCCACCCACGGGGTGGAGGTGGGGCAGTGTCGGCTGGAAACGCCACCTGCATCTCACTCTGTAGGACACGGGGACATGCTGGTTTCTGCAGGTTCATGAGAGTAAAGTGAGGCTGGAGCCATAGTACAGCGGGGAGGGCACTTGCCATTCATGCAGCCAGCCTGGGTTCAGTTCCTGGCATCCCATATGGGCCCCTAGCACCACCAGGAGTAACCCCTGAGCACTGCTAGGTGTGGTCCAAAAAAAGCAAAAAAAAAGCCCCCTCTCCCCTAAAGAAAAGTCTCTAATCCTTTATGTGGAAAAGAATGGAATTCAAGGATAGCTAGACTCTGGGCTCAGAAGTGCAGATTATAGGTAACTTGGGGTTCTGAGTGCGCTGGTCACCCAGCGGAGCCTTGATCCTGGTCTCCTTGACTCCTCTCGGCTACTGTCACTCCCTTCACGGGGCTGCGTGTTCCCTGATGCCAGGAGAGGAGGGTGGGAGCACTGGAGATGTGCTTCTGTACTCAGTGGCAGTGAAGGAAGAGGAGCCTTCCCTTTCTGCCTTCTCTCTGCCTGCTCAGCTGTTTGCGTATGCATCCCAGCATCTCCCGGGGGGTCACCCAGCCCAGGTGTGTCCTGGCAGCCTGCCTCTGGGTGTACGGCGTGTGCCAGGGACTGCGATCCTAGTCCTCCTGGCCCCTCTGGCTAGGTTTGGGGGTCTCTGGTAGAACAGGTGCCCTCTTAATAACATACAGACTTTACTAAGCAGTAAACAAGTGAGCGGCTGAAAATACCTTTGTGTGCTCATGTTGGAATGTGTGCGTGAGGTAACATGCCTGATTTGGGGGCCAGGAATGTGACTTAGTGGCAGACCACATGCCTTGCATGTGTGAGGCCTGGGTTTGAGCTCCAGCAACATATAAACACACAACACACACACACACACACACACACACACACACACACACACACTCACTCCTGCTCTTAAAAGATATCGAGGAGAAAGATTAATTAATAGGTGATCCTCCTGCCCTACTCTCTTAACGTTGTGCCATCCCTGTCAGAGCACCCAGGAAAGTAAAATCCATGTCTTTTCATTATCAAAGATGTCATCACCCACGTGACAAAAACAAAAACAGATTACAAAACTATACCCTAGGATAAAAGCAAAATAAAGGTTATGTTGCAAAATGCATACCTGCCTTTCAGCTGAAGACTTAGTTAAGTGGTCTCCTGTGAGATTTGTCTTCAGAACTTTGATTTATTTTAAAATTTTAATGAATTCATTGATTGGAGGGGGAGTTGGGGTCACACCCAGTGGTGCTCAGTGCTTACCCCTGGCTCAGCACTCAGGAATTATTCCTGACATTACTCAAGGGACCATATGGGATGCTGGGGATTGAACCAAGTCAGGCTGCGTGCAAGGCCAGCACCTACCTGCTATACTGTCGTTTCGTATACCCCCCCACTTGCCGCCAGACAGGGATTTGGGTCAAGTGTTAGATACAGGCCTTACACATGCCTTGTCCGTGCGAGGCCCTGGATCCCTACCGTAGGTCTTTGACATCCTCCCCTTCCCTGCACCCCCCAACCCCACTATCCAATGGGCCTATAATGGTAAAAACAGACAGCTTCAGGCCTTTCTCTAGAGAGTCTGAGCTAATACCTCTGGCATGGGTTTGGCGCTTCTGTTTTAACCACCTCAATGGGCAGCTTTGATGCACAGTAAAATTCCTCGCCAAGAAGAGCTGCCGTCATTCCGTGCGGGGTGCTTGGCTCAGAGCACGCTGTGTACGGGAGTCCCCGGGCCCTTGATCTAAGGGAGAGGCTGGTCCTCGCATGACTCCAGATTCAAGTTTGGATTCAGAGCTCAGCTTGGCTGCAAATGAACCGGCTGTGTTATCCAGGATGGTGATCCATCCAGCGCCCGCGCCCCAGTGGGGCTAGTGACTGCCTCTCTGACGCAGGGGGCAGGCACTCCCAGAGTGGGGAGCAGCCCTTGCCTGGCAGTGAGTGAGCATGAAATATCCCTGTCATTTAAGCAAAGGATGTGAACGCCAAGCAGGGGATGGAGAGCGAAAGGGAAAGCCAGTATGATGAGAGCATTTTAAAATCAGAGTGTTGGGGCTGGACCATAGGACAGCGGGGAAGACATTTATCTTGCATGTGACCAACCCAGGTTCAATCCCTGACATTTCATATGCCCCCCGCCCCCCTGGTTCCAAACACCGCCAGGAGTAATTCCTGAGTGCAGGGCCAGGATGAACCCCTGAGCATCACGGGTGCCCTCCCCCCCTCAAAAAAACAAAAAACAAAACACAACAGAAAAATCTGAATTTGGTAGAGTAACATCTGTAAATAGCTGAGAGAGACGTAATGACAATTGCTCAGCAGATAAAGTTAATTCCAGCTAATTCCTCAGTCTTACTGTTGGGATCTTTCCCTGTTATGCTTTTGACTGTGAGAGAAAAGTTTACAAAATATCTGCAAATGAGCCATCTCATGAGAAGCTCAGATTATTTCAGTGCCTGCCCCCCCCCCCCCCGCCCCCTTCAGATCCTTCCATATTACAAATAGATCATCAGGCTTCTTCAGTGGCTTTGCTAATGGTGGGAGCAGTCAGAATTTTCATCGCTCTGGCAGTCTGGATTGCAGCACGAAGTAGATGTGCTCTGTACAAGCCCACCTGTGCCTCACTGTGGACATTTCTGAATTAGTGAAGCTTTTTTATAGTAGGGCTTGTCCCAACGCCAAGAGTCCTGGCCTCTGAGATTCCTTTACAGCTAGAGAACCCAGAAGAGATTCAGTAAGCAGTTTTCTTCTACTTTTTCAAAAGATCATTTTGTTTTTGTTTGTTTGTTTGTTTGTGGGCTTTTTGGATCACACCCAGGCGGTGCTCAGTGGTTGCTCCTGGCTCTGCACTCAGGAGTCACTCCTGGCGGTGCTGGGGGACCATATGGGATGCTGAACCCTGGACAGTCGCATGCAAGGCAAACGCCCTGCCCACTGTACTATTTCTCCAGCCCCTCAGAAGATTGTTTAGTTGCAACTCTCTATGACTGATTTTTTTCCCTTCTGATTTGTTCCATCGATTTGCTAGAGCGGGCCCAGTAACATTGTGAGACTTGTTACTGTGTTTGGCATATCAAATACGTCACGGGGAGCTTGCCAGGCTTTTGCCGTGCGGGCAAGATGCTCTCGGTAGCTTGCCGGGCTGTCCTAGAGGGGCGGAGGAATTGAACTCGGGTCGGCCATGTTGGCCGCTTGCAAGGCAAACGCCCTACCGCTGTGCTTTTGGGCCACACCTGGCTGTGCTCAGGGCTTACTCCTGGCTCTGTATTCAGGGGTCACTCCTGGCAGTACTTGGGGGAACATGTGCTGTTGGGGATCCAACATGGGCCATGCGACCTTATCGTGATGCCGCCACTTTGGCCCACGATGATAAGTTCTTCATATTAACCCGGAAGTCATTTTGCTTGTCTTTTCTTTCTTGATCCAAATACAGCTCGTATCTGAACATGCCTTTGAAATTCCAGACAACGTTCGACCTGGGCATCTTATTAAAGAACTTTCTAAAGTGATTCGAGCAATAGAGGTAAGAGGAATCAGCTTGCCAGCCGATTGTGTACTCTCTGCCCTGAGAAAGAGACACCCGGTACACACCACCCGCAAGTCGGCAGTGTTCACACACCCCAGCGGAAGTGGGATGTGAGTGGTCTAGAAGGAACCTTGCGCTGCCAGGCTCGAACATGTGGGCCAGGAGGGCGGGACCATCTAGAAGTTCAGGAGTAGGGCCACTAGCTCTGACCATGAGCTTGGTGGTTACTAGTCTGGGGGCAGGGCGGGGCGGGGTGGGGCAGGGCAGATGGATGACTGAGAAATGACTCGGCCTCCAGCTGCTCCTGGAGTGTGTGTAGGAAACTTGCGTCTTAGTAGTTCAAGAAGTCAGACCGAAGACCCTGGGCTTTAGACGCTGAGTCACAGAGGGGCAGGCCCTCGCAGAGACCAGAGGGACGCAGGCCAGTCTCTGTGGGAGGCTCTTCTTACGCTGCCTGAGGCGCTAGCCTGGCTCCCTCTCTCCTAAGTTTCAGATTCAAGGGTCAGGTGGGTTATGTCCACTTTGAGTCTCCTGCCTTCACTTAGCGTCGTGCTTTTGATTTTTTGTTTGTTTTGACCACCACGCCCGGTGATGTTCAGGCTTACTCCTGGCTCTGCGGTCAGGAATTCTTCCTGGCTGTGTTTGGGGACCATGTAGGTTGCTGGGGATCGGATCTGGGTCCGCCGCGTGCAAGGGAAACACCCTCCCTGCTGCCCTGTTGCTCTGTGCTTTTGAGATATGTCCTTGTGCATGTCAGTAGTTCTTGGTGGCTGCTGGCGGGTGCCCAAGGGAAGGACTATACCACAGTTTCATTTTCCGTTCTTTACTTGGTTTGCTATAGACGTGGCCAGGAGGTGTAAATCTATGAAAATATTATTGTCTGCCTTCTAGTGGTAAATCTGTATATTATTTCCCCCCACCCCTGGGTTTACTACCTTAGCACAGAATTGAGTTAAGGAGTAAGTAAATTTTTGGTTCAGTTGTGTTGTTCCAACCCTGCAGTGCTCAGGGCTTACTCTTGGCTCGGTGCTCAGGTTAGCGCCTTCACCCTGGGTCTCTCTCCAGCCTGTGAGTGGATGTTTCACTCGGTGAGAACCTGTCGCACTTGCCTGCGGTTGCTCATGGCTTCCTGCTCTGGGGTGGGTGGGTGGGGGGTTGAGGAGGAACGGGAACTATTCATTTCCCCGCCCACGCGCGGCGGCTGGGGTCTGATTTGGCCTGTGGCGGAGTCGGAGAGCCACAGTGTTGGGGCGAACAGGGACAGGAGCGCTCGGCGTGTGGGATTTGCAGGTCTCCTTCTAAGTGCCCCGTTAGAGGAGGCTGCGATTCTAACATTGGTTATTTTTACTGCCGAGCTGCAGGAGTTCATGATCTAACCTGATCAGAAGTTCTTGGTCTCATACCCACAGACACACACGCACACACACACACACGGATGAATGTTTCTCCATGGCCTGTGGCTTGTCTTTCTATTAATGCTCACCCTTAGTGGATAGACCAGTCAATCCGAAGATACCCAATTTATTGATTCTTTTTCTATTAGAGTTAGTATTTTTACGTCCTAAGGAGCCTTTGCCTATCTCAAGGTGTTCACGATGTTAATTGTTTTCCCCTAGAACCTTTTATACTTAGGCCACAGCCTGTTGAGGGAACTTTTGTGTGAATGAAAGCTTGAATAAAGAGCAGCCTTCCCCCGACCCATGTAGGTCAGTCTAATTTTCTTCACTGTTTGTTGAAACCAAATTGTTTGGTTTGGTCCAGGACCCCACCTAGGGGGTCCTCAGGGTTATTCCAGCTCTGTGCCTGGGGGTGTGGTGTTTGCACTGCTGGGGGGTTGAACCCCAGCCGCCTGCATGTGATGCCTGCGCTCTCTGAGTATGAAGCAGACTCCTTTGAAATGCTTAGGGCTGGAAGACAAACCTTGCATGCTCGAGGCGCCGAGGTCAGTCCCCAGCACCGCAGGCTCCACTCGAGCCTACACTGCTGGATTGCGCATCCCAGGGAGTGACCCTGTGGCCCCTGAACTCACTGGGGGTGCCCCCTTTCTCTTCCCCAGTGCATCTCCCTTTACAGCAAAGATTGAGTGAAAGAGAAAAGGAAAAGGATTCTAAGCACCTCTGGTGCCTCTCCCGAAGCAGCCCTCGGGAGCGGCCTCCAGCCACGCTCGCCCACAGCCGAGGCAGTGCAGAAGGGGGTGGTGTCATGCACTGCTCTGACCCCGGCACGGGGTCAGACCGCCAGCATTATGCTCCTGTTGCTTACGCAACATTTAATATCTTGCCAAATTTCAGCTCAGGACCTCTAAAGTTGATGTGTTACTAACTGTGCTTGAGTGTGGCATTTTCTAGTTAGAGCTTTTGTTATCAATTAGTGATAAATATATCAAAAAGAAAGCAGTTGGAAGCGAGGCCATTATAGATTCAAGGGGGGAAGCCAAGGAAGTGGAAAAAACGAAATGGACCAATGCAGCTATGTTCTAGCCCAGGGTTGTAAATAATTTTTACTGTGTTCAGTTTAAATACTAAATATTGAAGGCTGAGGGTGTGTATGTGTGTGTGTGTGTGTGTGTGTGTGTGTGTGTGTGTACACGTGTGCATGCACACACATCTGCAGGAGAGGATGTGTGTGAGGATTAAGATTTCTTTTTTATCTAATAGGAATTCGGTGTTCACCGAAGGTGAAAAAATAAGGAATGCCTGTATAAAATTATTTTTTAGAATTTGGGCACAAAAATCTAAGAACCAGTACTTGCCACCAGCAACAGGAGTGTGTGTGTATGGAGCTGGGTGTGTTTACTGCAGAGACGGGAAGCAGGGCCCTGGGCACATCAGATGCTAGCCCGTGCTCCAGCAGCTCAAAGGCAGCAGCAGGCCACGTACCTCTCACCAATGAAAGGAAGACAGGAATGTGGCTCGTGCCGCCAGACAGATGGCAAGGACACTCTGACCCTTCCTGCAGTGGCACAGACCTCACAGACTTCTGTCAAGTCAGTTACGAAGGGGCAACAAATACTACATCATTCCATTTTTTTATGAGATTTCTAGAATGAGCAGATAGTAAAGTAGTAGAAGGATAGCTGGTGAGGGCTGGGGGTAACAAGGATCGAAGGTGAGGGGGATCACTCTGGTTTAATAGGTCCTAAATTAAAATTTTGACAAGATTTAAAAAAATGACGTGTGAACAATTGGAAGTATCATGCTGGCAGGCTGTCCACGTGCTGGGGTCAGAGCGGTGAATGATGTGGACACTGTCCCAGGCTGTCGGGGCTGTTGACTGTGCTGAGGTGAGGGTCGCTGCAGGGGGGAGCCCGGGTGGGGGAGGGCGGCTGCCGCGCCACTTCCTGATTGACTCTTAGACACGGGATTTGTTCGCCCCATACATGCGGGCCTTTGGCTTAACGAACATGGGCAAGGGACAGTTCATGAAAGGAAGGAACCAGGAGGCCTCTGATGGGCCTCAGGCCGAGGTCAGGGAATCATGCTGTCTGTGGAGTAGCCTGAAGTCAGAGAGTCCGTCCTGTCAGCGAGGCAGGGAGAGACGGGCCCGAAGGGCTCAGCACAGCTGGGTCATCGTTGGCCTCGCGCCTCTCACGTCTGCGACTCAGGTGGCTGGGTTTTGTATGACGGGTTGCTGAGGTCTCTATGCAGCCTTGTGGTAAAAGTACTCTGAATTCAATTCTTAAAGGAGGAAAACGGCAAACCAATTAAATCTCAGGGAATTCCTACTGTGTGTCCAGTTTCACGATCCTCAAATGAAGCAACTTCTCCCTACCATTCCCGGCGGAAGATGCGGAAACTCCGAGATCACACTGTCCGGACTCCTTCCAACCTGGACATCCTGGAGCTGCACACGAGGGAGGTGCTCCGGAGGCTGGAGATGTGCCCGTGGGAAGAGGCAAGTGGCGAGCACCGTCGGGGCTCGGGCGGGAGACTGGCACGCTGCTGGGGGGAGGGGGCGGGGGCCCTGAGCACTGGAGAAAACTCAAGAGGGATGAGGTCCCTGCCCACTCCCACGCTAGCCCAGGAAGATGCCAGGTGCCCCAGTCTGGAAACACATGCTCCCGAGGGTGCAAACCTGTAGGGCTCTCGAGTAAAGGGGTGGGACTAGGGGGCCAGCTGCCTTAGCCGGGAGGCCAGAAGGGTGGAGCCCAGGGAACAGACAGTAGGAAGAAGGCTGAGGGGACAGAGGGAAGAGCCAGTGCGGGAAGCGGCCTCCTGACCAGCAGCCCAACTGATGACCGTCAGCCGGGAGTCTGCCCAGTAGCACCCTGAAGGGTAGACTGAGGGAGTGGGTGACCGGGAGAGCACAGCATGGCCTATGTCCACCACCAATGAGCTTATGGCCAGGATTTCTCATTTTAAACAGAGCACAGGCAATAATGTCAGGAAAATGAAATAGAGGGGCTGGAGCAATAGCACGACGGGTAGGGCGTTTGGCTTTTACGTGGCCGACCCAGCATCCCATATGGTCCCCCAAGCACTGCCAGGAGTAATTCCTGAGTGCAGAGCCAGGAGTAAACCCTGTGCATTGCCGGGTGTGACCCAAAAAGAAAAAAAAAAAGAGGTCTGGATTCAAGTATTTAAAGACGTTGCATAGGGTTGAAGCAATAGTACAGTGGGAAGGGCTTTTGTTTTGCACATGACCAATCTGGGTTCGATTCCTAGCATTCCATATAGTCCCCCAAGCACTGCCAGTAATAATTCCTGAGTGCAGAGCCAAGAGTAACCCCTGTGCATCGCCGGGTGTGACCCAAAAAAGCAAAAAAAAAAAAAAAAAAAAAACCATAAACGCATACAAGTGTTACATTTCTTCAGTATTTCAAATTTTAGATCATCACATTGGTACTGTTTCAGGATTTTGTTATTCGAACTTCTTTAATTCACAGCCATCTGGGAGAAGCTTTAGCTTATTCTGAAGGCCATGTGTTTAACTAAAGAAAAAGAGCATGGAAGTTAGCAGGGTACCCTGTAGCGATCTCAGGGGTGCCCTTAGACAGCCACAGGTGGGGGGGAAGGGGGAGGCATGAAAGGACCATCAGGCTTGCGCCTCCAGCCTCAAACTCTGCCCACGGCCATGTCTGCGGGTGTGCGTGTGCCAGTGGGACCCTCTGCCAGACAGCGTGAGGGTGGTGCTTGCTGTCCCTGTCGCCGTGGAGTCTAGCATCTGCCCGGCGCAGGCCCCTCGCCCCTTGTCACTGCCTAGCAGGGCCCGGAGGCAGGGCCGAGGGGGGAGGTGGTGGTCTGCTGGGTCCTGCATAGTTCAACGGGTTTTCTTTTCTACTCCAGGACCTCTTGAGTTCTAAACTGAACGGCAGATTCAACAAGCATCTCCAGCCTTCTTCCACAGTTCCTGAGTGGAGAGCCAAGGACAACGACCTCCGCTTACTGCTGACCAACGGGAGAATAATTAAGTATGTGCAGGCAGCCCAAACGGGCCAGCTTCCTAGGGCTTCCCCCTGGTGTACCGACTGCCCAGCCCAGTCTGGGGAGCCGACTTCAGTGCCCCTCGGCCCTGGGTCGATACGTGGCTGGGTGGCAACCTCGAGGGCTACCAAGTTACAGTTTTCTGACCTGACCGTTTCTTCCCACTGACAGAGATGAGAGACACCCCTTTGCAGATCAAAGTCTCTATACGGCGGACAGTGAAAATGAAGAGGAAAAGAGAACAAAACAGGCGAGGGTGAAGACGGAAGAGAGTTCCGGAACCGAAGAGGTGGAAAACGAAGATTCTCAAAAACCACATAACAGTATGTTTGTGTTCATTGGGAAATTTTTTTTATTCCTAATATGCTAAGGATAGCAAAGTAACTAAGTTCAAAGTTTTGTTGTTGTTGTTGTTGTTGTTTTTCCTGTCCAGGGGAGGGGGTGGACAGGTTTGGTGCTCAGGACTTACTCCCAGCTCTGTACCAGTGGTCACTCCTGGAGGGACTTCTGAGACCATACGTAGAGTTGGGAATCACACCTGGGTCAGCCAAATGCAAGACAAGCACCGTAACCTCCTGTGTTATTGCTTTGGCCCAAGTTCACAGTTCTTGGTTGATGGCTGAATTGAAAATGTATGTGTCCCTAATGCTCTTTGGAGAAATCCGAAGTGTCTCTGAGTAGTGTACCCATCAGGGAAATGCTTAGGGTGACCCCTAGGGAGGTCGTGGCCCAGCCGGTGATATAGAGGGCCAGGGGCCAGGGACACTCTCACTGGCGCCAGTTGACCAGTTTCATGTATTTGATGGGCCTCTGCTTCAAGGGTTAAGAAAAAATTTCATGAAAATTTATAAGGAGTTTCAGCTGACATAGACATGGCTTTCAGAGTTTGGAAATAGGAATCATTAATCTGGAACTACTAGTGACCCAAGATTATTTTGTTGATAGCCGTGGACCATAAGGCCCGTGCTTGGTTAGCCTCCAGTTTCTGGTCTCAAGCAGCTGGTCGTAGCTCCTTGTCCTGGCACTGGTCTCTCTTTTGAATGAAGTCTCTCTTTCCCAGTGCTTTCTTAGAGCTACAGTACACATTTTGAATTTAAAAGGGAGTTATGCATTTTGGGATTTGACAGGTAAATGTCCAGGAGATTATTACTTGGTAGATGTGCTGTACCTGTGGTCCTGCTCATGCTGGGTGAATTTGTCCCGCACCCGGGAAAGGCAGCCTGGTCAGTGGGCTACTTGCCGTGCGGCAGTTCCAGAGGCCCGGGGGACGCCTGCGGAGTTCACTGTCTCCTGAATTGCTTTTCGATTTAGGAGAGTTATCGTTTTGTTTCCTGTAGAGGAAAACAATCTAAATAAGACAGTACAAACCACCGGACAGCTCATTTAGTGTGAGAGGCTTTTTGGTTTTTTGATTTTTTAAAATTTTCTGGGAAGAATTATAAACTAGCAAGCCCATCCCCATAAGAAATATCTACTCCTGCTTAATGAGCATCACCCAAGTTTTTCAAATACACTCTAGTGGCAGCAGCAGTTTCTTGGTCGGTTAGGGAGAAAGTCCGCCTGGGGCTGAGAGGAGCAGGTGGAAGCAGGGACAAGGGGAAGGAGAGGAGGAGCGGGGAGAGGGAGGGCCCCGCCGCCGGGCTGTGTGGAGCCTTCTGACGCCTCCCCTTGCTCCGCGCTTTCCCCTCCAGGGTTTTTCACAAGTGTGAAGTCAGAACTCAGGAATCGATCATCGGAATACTCGGACATTTCTGACTCGGAGGACTCTGGGCCCGACTACACTGCACTGGTATGCCCTGGGACGCTGGCGCTCGGGCGCCCCTGCAGTACAGCGGGTTGGTCAGGGCCCATGTGTGCCGCGCATATGCTCTGTTGCTTGTTGTTCACACCTGGAAACAGCCTCTGTCTGCTTTGGGAAAGGGTGCTGGGAAATGCTGTTCTTATTTTTTGAGGTGTTTTTGCTTATTTTTAAGGACAGTGAAAGTGCCGAATCCTAGCCACTAGATCACTGGGGCTGGAGTGATAGCACAGCGGTAGGATGTTTGCCTTGCACGAGGCTGGCCCGGCTGACCCGGGTTTGATTCCTCCGCCCCTCTCGGAGAGCCTGGCAAGCTATCGAGAGTATCTCACCCGCATGGCAAAGCCTGGCAAGCTTCCTGTGACGTATTCGGTATGCCAAACACAGTAACAAGTCTCACACTGGAGACATTACTGGACCCACTTGAGCAAATTGATGAACAACGGGAGGACAGTGCTACAGTGCTGCTAGGAGATCCGCTCAAGGGCGGGATTCATTCAGGGTGTGTTGCTTTCTTCTTTCCCCAGCTAAGTAATCTACTAATCTATTTAAGGACAGTGCTACAGTGCTATTTTGTTTTATCTTTTTTTGCTTGCAGGTCACACCCAGCTGTGTTAGGGGGTTACTCCTGGCTTTGCACTCAGGGATTACTCCTGGCAGTGCTCAGGGAATCATATAGTATTCTGGGGGTCGAACCCGGGTTGGCTGTGTGCAAGGCAAAAGCCCGGCCTGCTGGACTATCTCCCTGCCCCCTATGGTTTTTGTTTTATCTGAAAGAAATCCTATACTGTGCCTTTCACCCAGGAACCCTGTTACTAGGGCAGACAGTCACTTTTTATATGTCACTGTCACTCTCCTTCCATTGTTCATCGATTTGCTTGAGCGGGCCCAGTATCGTCTCCATTGTGAGTCTTGTTACTGTGTTTGGCATATCGAATACATCATGGGTAGCTTGCCGGGCTTTGCCGGATGGGCAAGACACCCTCGATAGCTTGCCAGGCTCTCCAAGAGGGGTGGAGGAATCGAACCTGGGTTGGCCAGGTTGGCCGCGTGCAAGGCAAATGCCCTACCCACTGTGCTATCGCTCCAGCCCACTTTTTATATGAAGCAGAGAAATCATCCCATGATAGGATTTTGACTGCCCAGGTTGAAAGAAGTGCTTCTGATTGATTTGTCTGGATCGCGAGATCCTTTGCATATCTTAGCTTCCCTGTCATTGCTTTTTTATATCAGAAAAACAATTTTACCACTGAAGAGTCTGAAAGTTCAGGTGATGAAAAAAAACAAGAAGTAACATCCAACTTAAAGGAGGATCCCAGCATGGTGAGGAGCTTGCTTCCGAAGAGCCAGAAGCCGGCTCGAAGTGAAGTGGCCGTTAAACGGTAGGTTTGCCATGGGAGCAACCCCAGGGCGCCGCTGCGTGTGCTGCTCCCCGGGCCAGCATCCCTTCGCTCTGGTCCTTTGTAGGGAATGTCCAACCTCCACGAGCACAGAGGAGGAGGCGATTCAGGGCATGCTGTCCATGGCGGGTCTGCACTACTCCACGTGTCCCCCGAGGCCGGAGCCCAGCCCCGACGGCGGTGGGCACAGGCACGCCGTGCCGGCAACCCAGGACTGCCACCGCGCCAGCCTCCCCGTCCGGCAGGTGTGCCGCTACGGCAGCCCCGTGGAATGCGGTAAGCCCCATCAGCACCCGAGCCCCCAGCCTATGGATGGCGCTTCAGGCCTGGGTGAAGTCAGAGGGGACAAAGGAAAGCTTTAGCTCGAAAGGGGCGCCGAAGGGCCGGAGCGCGCACACTGTTGACAAATCATGCATTGTCCAAGTGCACGATTCCAAAATGTACAGTATCTGGAACTGAGCGTTGTCTTCACGGCGCCATTCTCCCGTGGCTGTTGCAGAACAGTGTTCGTTCCCCTCCCCAAACTGACGAGAGTGGAAGGAATGTCAGTGGGCTCTGACACTCCCCCCTCTCTGTCAGGGAGGAAAAACAGGTTCTGAACTGGTTCTGGTTGAGGATATTAACTCTTCCGCTTGCCAGCAAAGAGCGAGAACAGAGAGAAGGCTCAGTAGAAATCCCATGGGTGCCCTGAGTGTTTTCTTCTCTGTGCCTTTTGGGGAGAGTTTTGTCTCCCTGAACGTCTGAGGGAGACTGGAGGGAAGCGCCGCCTCCCCCGGCAGCTGATGGTCGTGCCAACCTTGGCAGCCTCCTCGTGCCGGGCTTGGACCCACACTCGTGTACGCAGTAGACATGACTCAGTGAAGTTCTTCAGCGCACACAGACTCCTGTACCTATTATTCACACGTCTGGAACTTGGGGCCAGAAAGACTATACAGAGTTAAGGTGTTTGTCTGGTATGTAGCAAACTTCAATCCTCAGTACCACCTATAATCCCCAGAGCACTTCTAGGAATCACCCTGAGCACGGAAGTAGGCATAGCACCAAAGCAATTCAGGGTGTGCCCTCCCCCCAAAACTAACAAAACAAAGGTAACCCGATCTGTACGCAGGGCCATTTGGGGCCCATCCGATTTCAAAATCTTTGCCAATGGTATTAGATGAAACTGAGGCTTGGAAATGCAGATGAACGATGTCTTGACAACAGCACACCTGGCACCACTGAACTGAATCCCCAGGTGTGACTCCAGCGGTTCCCTTTGTCTGTGGCATCTGCCCCCTTCCTCCTCCTGCCCACAGCCTCACCTTCTTCTCCCACTGATTCAGGTCCCACCCTCTGATTCACCCAGGCATGGCAGGCAGCGCCCAGCCCAGTCCTTCAGAGTGTTCTCACCAGCTCCCGACTGAGCTCACTGTCTTTTGTACCCGGGGGTGGGGGAGACCCTGCACCCTGTGCCCCGTGACCCTGCACCCCTGCCCCATCACCCGGCACAGCTGCTCTTTCCGTGCTTGGCTCTCTGCTTCCTGGCATCTTCTCTGTGGCCCTTTGCGCCTTTGCCCTTGGCCTGTACATCCCTTCTGAGAGAGCATACATAGGAGGGACACTGCACTACCCCTCCCCCTTTTTTTTTGGTGTGGCACATTGGAAACATCTTAAGTCTGTCTTCCAGTGTAACAGATGGTTTCATCAAGGTATAGATTTCCACACTGGACATTGTTTCTCCCCCGAATTTGCAGAGCATTGCTCTCACGCCCCAGACAGGTCACCCTTTTACATGTAAGTTTCCTCTAGAGGATGTGGGGAGAGGAACCGGTTACCGAATCTCCTGAAGCAAACATTCTAGAATGCACCTTCACTTTTGAAAAGGGGTTGGGATGACAAAAAGGAAAAAAAGAAATGAAGATTTACTTAAAGATTGATTGCTAATTAACAAAACAAATCGTCTTTCTATTCTGCCTCCTTATAACCTCTCTCATTCCATAGAATCTCATAATCTCTTTCTTCAGAGAAAAGAAAGTGTCTGTGGATATACTTCATAATTTAAGAAAGTGTGTTTTTATTCTACATGGGCAAACATACCATTTCTATGGTGGGGAAGGAGTTGCCTTTTGCCTTTTGCCTTTTGCAGCCTCTGTGTGTCCTGCAGGGCAGTTTTTGAGAAATGTTAGCTGAGGAACTGCTTTGTTTTGAGAGGGAAAGTGTTTCTCAGAGATCTAACATGAACACTGTTTTATGCCAGCTTAACTGGTTTTCACCACGAGGCTCACTCTGCTCTCTGCGATCAACTTTGTGGCATGATTGTTTTAACTAAAACTCGTCTTTAGGGTACCATGTCAGGACGGAAGAGCACGATGCGAGGAGTTCTGCCTGGCCGAAACCGCCGGATCCAGCGTCCAGACTGCACCTTCAGGCATGTATCCTCCTCTGGAAACAGGGAGAGAGGTTTAGAATTGGCTTTTGCATTTTGCATTCTCTCTTTTTTTGTTTTAACTGCCACTAATTATTGGCCATTAAATTGGGAAAGCTGAACTTGATATAATGGCTGCTAGGACTTACGGCTAGAGTGGTTTGGAAAAACATTCTTTGTTCAACATGGTTAAAAACAACTAAGCTGTTAGCGCCTTTGGGTTTGAAAGGGAAGAATTCTGGCTGGAATGAACCACACAAGAAAACATACCGTAAGATCTCTTTAATCTCTGACATTGTTTCTTGTGTAAACACACAAAAAATAAAAATGCCGGCGGTCAGGCCGTTTCCCCACTCCACGGAGGAGGTTGATGGCGATGGTCAGGCGAAGGAAGGAAACGGGGGCCAGGCTGGTTGGTCTTAGCAGCAGTTTATTACATGGAAGAGATGTCATGGAGGCCCCAGGATCTCTCAAACACGTGCACCTTTGTTCTCTCAGCTTCTGTCCTAAGCCCCATCTTCCCAGGTTCTCTGATGCACGTGTCCCCCCAGAGAGCCCTGAAATCTCCCTTATATAGATCATAGTACCTCTAAAGGGCGCAATATAATGATGTCATCAAAAGGAGTTACAGAAAGAACATTGAGGCGGCAAACATACATTGTTTCCTTACATCCGCAGACCAGTAATCCTGGCCTCACCTTTTTACAAGCTACAAGCACTTAGATTAGCACAACAAAGACCAGTCTGCTAGAGCTTGGAATCTACTCTCCAAAATCAGCCAGCCTGGAGCCAGGCATCTACATCCCAAAGACCAGGCCTGGCTTAGCACCTGGGATCTGTATACCTAAGGCCAGCTAGGTTCCTGAGAGAAAAGGGAAATTGTCTCAATATACTGAAATCATTTACTGAAGACAGTTTGAAGGGGAGAAAGCAGTCTCATTCAAGCTAGTCAGGACACACAGGAAACTGCTTCTAGGACGTGTTTCTCCTCTCCTTGTCCAACCAACATATAAGCATACATAATATTAATCATTTTGTATGGACACAGTAAGAAATACTTTGAGCTTATAGAATTGCTCTCCTAGGGCCATCTCGATCTCAGACTGCAGTGCTCAGGCCAGATATCTTTCCTATTCCTAGCAGCAGGGCCCTAGTCTCGTCGTTACTTTTGGATCATGACATCATTTGCCTATGATCAACCTCTTAACTTATAGTTAAGAATCGTGGCACCTTGGCCTGGCCCATCGCGATGCCAGGGTAGCACATAACTTACCGGCTTGCCCTGGTTCCATCCAGTCCCACGTGGGGACCCTGCCCTTGGGGTGCTAGGAAGTGAGGGCAACTGAGGCTTAAGTTGAGAAGGCAGATGCCCAGGAGTGAATAATATTCAAAGCAAATCAATTCCTAAGTTACCAAGTATATTAATTAATTGTCTTCCTGTATCTATACAAAAGGACATTGCATTAAAGTAAACTGCTCAAAGACATAAGGAGAGGAGAAAGGCAATATTAACTTACAGTACAGCTTCAGTGTCTAAGAAGGATGAGACCTTACAAATTGGTTGGGGAAGAGAGCATAGAAGTGGTTACAGACTGACAAAGTAATGGGAGTGACTCGGGAGCACTGTGATGGGTACAATCTGATAAACCTAAGCTCTGTGTACTCCAACAGTTTCTCGAATATTTTTCAGTCATCTTTTTTTATGAATGACGTGGAGGTTACAAATCTTCTTTCCGGAACGCCGGTCACCATAACAGTCTATACTTTTTACTTCACATTGCACCGACTGGTGTCCCGGCACTGAATTGGTTCCTGATGGAGGAGCGCTGTGAGGCTGGCTCAGTGCCTTGTGTGGCGGGAGCCCTGGTTAGATCCCTGGCCCCATGTCGTCCCCTGAAGCCCCCTCCCACTCCTTAAGCCCCCGGGAGTTCAGAGTAACCCCGGAGCACTGCCAGATGTGGCCACTAAGCTAAAGGAGAAAAACAAAACAAAAACCCTGCCCCTGAGAAACTTGCTGTCTTCCAGTCCTGACATATTAATGCAGGTACCGGGCTAATGGAACCCACAGCAGGGTTTGGGGTTTGGTTTGGGGGCTGCACCCAGCAGTGCTCAGGCCTTATTCCTGGTCTGCACTCAGGGATCACTCCTGATGGGGCTTGGGGGACCATACAGGGTGGCAGGGATTGAACTCCGGTTAGCCGCGCGCAAGGCAATTATCTCCCGAGGTCCAGCAGATGAGGCCCGTGCCCTGTGTGCAGCTGTTCCCGGTCCTATCCCAGCAGCACACGTGATCCTGAGCCATTTGCGGAGAGATCTTGGGCACAGAGGTAGGAGGAAACCCTGAGCACCGCTGCTGTGGCCGCCAAACAGAAACAAGTACAAGTTCTTTATTGGACGACTGTGCTTCGGCGGCCCCAGAGGCTAGGATGAAATCCCTCGGCTGTTTGGCTTTAGCGGGGTCACAGGAGCACATGATCTTCCTTCCATCTGTAGAACATGTTCAATGGGTTCAGGCTTGAATTCTTACTCTGTAGAAGATGTATGTCCTATACAGCTTGAATTCTGTTCTTTCTCATTCCCTGTCTTTCTTTTTGGGGGGGGAGGGGGTCACACCCGACGATGCACAAGGGTTACTTCTGGCATATGAACTCAGGAATTACTCCTGACGATGCTCAGGGCACCATATGGAATGCTGGGAATCGAACCCAGGTTGCCTGCGTGCAAGGCAAACGCCCTCCCCACTGTGCTATTGCTCCAGCCCTATAGTTCTTCCTTTACTTCACTCTGAGCTTTGAGACTGGCCACCTCCCAGCCCGATGGGGGCTTGTCCATGTTCAGGAAACTCTGGCCCCCCCTGTCTCTCTCGGGCTCTCTTGGCTTGCTACTGCCCGAAGAGTGCCGGCCCTCATCTCCCGGCGACCTCAGAACTCAGTGGTGTTCCTGCCGCCCTTCTCTAGGAGCCGGGGAGAGGCCAGAAGTGCATCCGGAAGGAAGGCGCCCCGGAGAGCTGTCCCAAGCCACAGGGCAGAACTTCCGTGGACGGAAAGTTCCTGCAGAGCTCAAGCTTGGTCTCGGGGGCCTGCCAGATGGGGAATGGGGCGATGAGCCCTGAAAGGCCGGCGGGTGACACTTCCTTTTCCGTGCCCCTTCACCCAACCAAGAGACCTGCGTCGAACCCGCCCCCCATCAGCAACCAGGCAACAAAAGGTGACTTGGACCGTTTTGAGGGAGATGTGTGGGGCAGGGAGTGCGGTGGCTTGGGTCGAAGTGATCTCTGCACTCCTGTGGCCCGCCACCCGGTGCCTTTGGGACCCCTTAACAGCCCTTGGCACTCAGGGTATGGTGGGTCAGGGCTGGGCACCTGGGCGAACCCTGAGGCCCAGGATTGCCTCATTGGGAGAGGAGCAAGAGCCTGGGCTGGCCAGCCCGAGGGCGGATGTGGATGGTGGGTGCCAGGAGCCGGGGGAGGGGAAGGGGAGAGGCAGCCTTAGTGCATGTGGTGGCCGTCAGAAGGGCACCGGCTAGGTCTGTGCCTGGCGCAGCCTCCTTGCGCCTGCCCAGGGCCACCCCTCGTTGGTCTGTGACGCCCCTGATGTTTTGATGTTTGATGTTGATGTTTTCTAGGGAAACGTCCCAAGAAAGGAATGGCCACGGCCAAGCAGCGTCTCGGGAAGATCCTCAAGTTGAACAGAAACGGTCACGCGCGTTTCTTCGTGTGATGACGCTGCTGTTGGGGCCTCTCTTCCCTGCGGAGACCGTTCTTGGGTGGGGGGCAGGAGCCTGGCGCTCCAGCCGAGACCCCGCCGGAAGCAGTGTGCGCATGTCCAGTAGGGAACACTGCCTGAAGAACAAAATGAACCCGATGCTGCATTTTCACTGTGCCACACCCACTCAGCAATAACCAGTTTGGACCTGGTGGCAGAGGAAGAACGAGGGTAGAACCTTAAAAAGGGACCTTGAACTGGCAAGGGTCTCTCGTCAGGGCTTGAATTTCATTTTGTTGTCGGTAGTGTCTTGACTTATTTTCAGCGGTAGGGTAAAGAATTATCAATAATTTATTTAACAGATTTTTTTTTAAAGTTAACAGCTTTTAAATTCTTTTTTAAAGCTATTTATTTGGAAGATTTCTGGAGAACTATCTCACTAATTTAGATTAAAGAATGTGAAGGTTTTTAAATTATTTTTGATAGTGTGTGTGTTGCCCGTGGGAAGAGTCACGGCAACGCTGACTAGTCTGGACTCTTACATTTGCTATTCAGGTTAAAGTCTTAAACAGGGATTTGATGCATTAATTATTTTAAATTAAGATGTATATGAAAATCATTTTATTTTCTATATTTCATGTGCTTTTTATAAGCTATTCGCTTCGCTTTTGCTAACACCCAAGGTGCATACTGTTATCCAGGTCGATTCTCTTACACCCGCCTTCCCTCTGCGCTCCCCATCTTTCTGTCTGTCACAAGCCCGTCTCCACAGGGAGATACTTCCGTAGCCCGTGTGTAAGGCGACAGCCATGGTGGTCCCCACGCGTGCTCTTTGTTTGACTTTGCAATTTCCCTTCGAAAGCTTAATAGGCTTCTTGCATTTTCATTTTGTTTTTTTCTGATGAAATCTGGGTCCCAAAGAGAACAGCTTTAATCTCTTTTTCCCACTTGTGGGAGAAGTCTGAGAAATTTGGTTAAGTTGTCGTGTGTGTAGTTTTTCCAGTACATTTGTAACACTTGAGGGCCTTCTTCTTCGCACTGCTGGTGTCGGAGGCAGTCTCGCTCCTGCCACAGAGGTTATATTTTATGATACTTTGATTCTGTATACCTGATTTCTTGGACAGTGTCATTTGACATCATATATTCAGATCTGCATAATAAGCCGTGATGCAATAGGATATACTATATTAAGTTGTATAGAAAAAGCATGTTGGGGTAGATTGCGTGTGTGCATGTGTGCGTGTGTGCGTGCTTGTGTAGGTGTGTGCTTGTGCGTGTGTGTGTGTGCGTGTGTGTGTGCATGTGTGCTTAGTTTTTTATTTCTTGACCTTCTAAAGAATTCGTTAAGCTGCGGATTTGGAGTAAATGGGTGCTTCTTCTGGTTTCTTCCATAATCCTATCTTAACCAGTGCATATTGAGGGTAAGTATCTGGTTGAGCTTTAAGGAATCAATTCTCTGTGCACATTAACTAATGCCAGTTTTTACTTGTTCATACTAGCTTCCATTTCGTCCCCTCCCCCAATGTTCTAAAAATAAGTGATGGGGGGGGTAGGGTGGAGATATTCCCAGTTCTGACTCTAGAGCTTTTTACAAGTTCCTGCAAAGAAAGTAAAGGCAACTAGGATAACACTTATTTTTGTGGAGAAGAAATATGACTGTTTTATGAATTTTTCTGAACTCAGCAATGTAGTGGAATACTCCTTTATGTGCTAAATATCACTTGAGGATCTAAGAAAGTTTCAGGCCATCATCTTTTGTGATTTGCAGTCAAATGTTTATTTTTCAAAGAGAAATATTTCTTACTCTGTCTCATTCCAGTATAATTTGTGAATTGGCCCTTAAGGTCCAGGTAATTGGATTAAGCCTGGATCTTATCTGGGTGTCAAGGAAGAATTATTTTTATAGAAGTATCGCATATCTATAAAATGGCCCTATAAACTGTCTACATCCTGCCCGAGTTAGCTTAGGATTTGATTGGTCATTCTCTCAGAATGTTTGACTGATTTTCTCACCTGCCCCCAGCAATGCCTCACCCAGAGGGTTTTGTTCTGTAGACATCATTTTAGGGTGACAATGCTCACCTTTTTGTTTTGATTGAAGAAATAAGAATTACAATTTCTCTTTTTCACCTACGTCGTGATTTGTGTTCCCCTTTTGGTTTTTACATTTTTTCCACTTATCTAATAAGTACTTTAATGATCTGACTTCTCACTGGTTATGAAAACAAAAAAATAAAACAATTTATTTTTATGAATTAAAATTGTGGCCAGTTTCTGCCCGCTGTATTTAGGTCAGTAAACTTTAGGTAGCCAGTATGTGGGACTTTTAAGTTATTGTCGACTCCCCTTTCGGCAATTTTGGCCCAAGTTTTAAATAACAAAACGTTCAGTAAGGTAATGTATCCACTAAAATAGAACACATCTGTCTACCTTCCTCTGAATTGGCAAAAATTCAGCTACCGATCCAGGGAATCTCGGCTCCAGCCTCTTGTCAAGTTACTGGCTGTGAGGCTTATCTTTACCACAGACGGAGGATGAACTTTCTCGTAACCGGAGTCAGTAGGTAAACTCTGCTGCCAGACAGCTGTCATCTTTCCCACAGCCTCGTTCATAAGCAGTATTGCCGCCCCCCGCCACTTGGTAGAGAGGAAGCCAACCAGGGTGGCATTCGCTGGTTCTACAGAAGCATAAACAAAGAGGTAAAACAGTCATGATTTCAGATGTGGATTTTATTGTGCTGATAGGTAACACTTTAACGCCACTGAGTCAGATGAGGGACTTCTGTTCTTTGGAGCCCACTGTACTGTCACTCATGATGTCATACATGAGTGTGCTCTCCAGTAGTGATGAACAGTGATGATCAGGAATATAAAGTTGGCTGTTGCAGAGAGCTGCATCCTCAATAGTACCGTGAGCCTCAGAAACCTCAGTTTCGGAAGCATGCAAAATCAATATATCAACTGAAATCATAAATAGAGAAAGCAGGCCCGTGCTATCACTACTTAGCTCAAATGCTGTTCTATTTTTTAAATAATCCCAATTAGTACCTTTTAAATGAACCCTCCCATATTTGTTTAGATACTCTCAGCAGTTGTTTATCAGACATGTAATTCATACCCAACACTACTTAGTACTTGGGGGACTACGAAGTTTAAGATGTGATCTTGACCCTTGAACTGGATCCCCCGGGAAATGAGCAGTATTATTTTCATTGCTAAGTCACCTTAAACAAAAGAGGGTATCTGTTCACAGACAGACAGGCAGACACACAAGTAACTCAATTCATTTCCACTGAGATATATAATCCAAGCATAGAAGGGGAAATACAATAAATTTTTTTAAGTTTCAAAGTTTCGAAACCATCTCAGAAATCACTAATTGAATGTAGTAATGGGGATGTCTGCTGCAAAAGGCAGGGGACCTGGCTCTGCTCTGAATTTGCCCATTTATGTATCACCCACATGACCTTGAGTAGGTCACTTACTCTCCTGGGTTTTAGTTTTCTCATTTGTAACTCTGATAAAGAGTATGTAACCTGCCCACACGGCAGAGTCTGGCAAACTACCCGTGGCATACCCAACATGCCAAATACCAGTAACAATGATGGTCTCATTCTCCTAACCCTGAAAGAGCCTTGAATATGGCACTTTTTAAAAAATCTCAGGGCTAGGATGAAAGAGACATTACTGGGGCCTGCTCGAGGCAATCAATGAACAACAGGATGGTCGTGATCGTGAACTCTGATAAAAACATAGTTTGGCAAAGTAGTCCTTCACTTATTAGCATTGCCTGTTTGCAGAGACTCTACCATTATTTAAGTTGCAACTAATAATTAATAAATGAATGTTTATATTTGTTCTTCAGTGAAAACTGAGGTCTCACACAAAATCTGTTTCCTATCAAGTATATGCCCAGAGCATGCTTTCTCAAAAACAGATCTCAAGAATCTCTTCCAAGGTGCTGAATTAAAATCAGAACCAGGGCTGGGAATGAAAGAAAAGGAAGCGAACTGATTTACGGGCAAAAGTGAGAATGTTTATTTTCAAATAAGCGATGTATTTTCTCAAGCAATCATTAAGACCATTTAACAGTAATCAAAAGCTAGCTTTGGGTTTTTCTCAGAAAGGAATTGGGGTAGCACTGCTGTGGAGACTGCCTCCTCCCCAGGGCCAGGCACGATCAGTGCGCTGGGACTGAAGTGACTTGGGAGACCAGAAAAATTAGGATGGCACAGGGCAGGCTGGGGAGAGCGAAGCCGCAGCCTAGTGCAGTGTCTTGAGGTGATGGGAGGGAGGCAGGACATCTTCCAAAGAAAGGATTGTGCCTCATTGCAGAGCTCCGACACGGTCCCCAAAACTCCTGGCCCAGTGACCCTTGCAGGTTTCACCTGGAGGCGTCGCTCACGCCTCTCAACTGGCATTAATTCTCAAACATATTTATCATGAACTATCAAACTAATTGTCGCCTCCCCCAAGAGTTGAAAGATCACCAGGCCCTTTGGGAGCCCCTAAAGCTTTTTTCAAAGTCATTTTGAGAAGTTGGAGCCCCAGCGAATGGCTTAGGGAAAGCAGGTCACGTCTTGGTGAAGGACCGTGGTGGCATCGAGGCAGGCCGCCCCTGGAGTGACCGTGGTTCCCCGAACTCGGGCTTCCTGACCCCGCTCCTCCCGCCCCTCGTCTCACGGAGCCTCTCCCCGGCCCGGCGGCCTTGGCACACTCACGAGCAGAAAGGCAGGTGGCAAAGGCAGGCGAGGGGATGGGCTCCCTTGTCGGCTGACTGTGGAAATGACCCCTCCAGCCTTACCAGACCCTTGGGGAGGCCCTGCAGGACGCTGCCCGCAGACCCCCAGATGTGCAGGTCCCGGAGCAGCGGGGCCTTTCCCCACACGTTCTAGGTGCTTCTGCGATGCTTCCCTCCTGACTGGGTAGGGAGATGGGTGAACCTTCACATCTTTCACCCCGAGGCTCTCCCCTCACCCCGGTACCCTTTCTAGTGCCCCAAAGCTTTGCGATAACCAGTGTTGGCATCTTTTCTTTCTTTTTAAATGAGAACAAAATTCAGTGATTCTTCCAACAAGTGTATCTGCCCCGCATGATTTCACTCCTCAGCCCAGGGCCTCCCAGTAGCAAACCTATGCAAGATCGGCCTGGGCCCACCTCGCCTCCCTCTGCTCCAGAGAGCAGTGCAGGGTGGGACTTCATCCCAGAGACAAACCCCATCTTATTTTGGCTGTTTTCTTTTCAAAAGATCAACCTGTTTCCCCTCAGGACTCATCGCCAAAACCATGATCATAAGTGCTGGTATTTAGACTATTTTGCAGGAATAAAATAATGCAGACACGCTTGCAGGGGGCCCCTGGCGGCTCCCTGGTGGCAGCAGGTACCCGCCTGAGGTCGATTCCTCACCTGGAGTCCTCTGCACTAAAGAATTCCTCGGCGACTGACTGAGAACCTTCTCCTTGGTAGTCAGGAAGCTGCTGTGAAACTTGAGTGACACCCCCCCCCCCCCCCGTCCCCCGTCCCCAGGTTATTTTATCTTGCAGAAGAAACTTAAACCAAACTAAGGGCCTTACATTTATCGTTAGACTGAATCAAAAGCTATAACCTCAACTCTTCCTCCACACAGCCCGGGGCTGCCAAAGCAGCTCGAGGGCCGTGAGGGCTGAGCTCGCACTGACGTAGGCAGCGCGCCCGCACCGCTGCGGGCTGCGTCTCCTGCGGAAAAGACTTTTCTACTTTTACTAGAAATTAAGCCATAACAGTTTCATGCTGTGGAAAGCGGGGGGGAACAGGTCCATTTGAAGAGATGATATAATAGGAGTTTTCACAGTGACTGTGAAAAGTCTCACATTGCCAGTGCTTCAAGCAGGTTTTTATTGGGGGTCGGGGTGGGGTGGGCAGTAGTGGGTGGCGATGGGGTGGGGTAGTGTTGGCTTTAGGGGGTGCAAATCTGTGACATTTGAAAGAGGACGGTTGTTGGCAATGGTATTTACTAGTTTTGTAGTAACGTTCTGCTAGCCGCACTGACTTTCCTGAACTGATTTTTTTACACCCATGGTTCCGGGGGTGGGTGGGGCTCTCCTTTCTTGTTGGGGTGCCTGCAGAAGAGTGTCCTGTCCATCTGTGGGGACAGGTGGTGAGTGTGCATGTGTGTGCCCTTGGCTGGCAGGGAAGTGGGGTGCTGAAGCTTTAAGAGCATTTTTTCCCATTCCTAACAGTATTTCCCATCTTTTGCCTGCAGGCAGGGAAAGTGTATAGTATTTATTTGGTTTCTCTTTCAGATTTGTAAGTCTTTAGCTTCCATTGGTTCTTAATCGGGGCGTCACTCGTTTCAGGTTGTACTGGGTCTTCTTGCTTTTCCAATTTCTGTAATTCAAAATAATGAAATTTAAAGTTGTATTACTTCTGTTATGATTTTGTTTGTTTGTTTAGCATTTGGTGTATTTTTGCTCATTTTGTTTGGAAATATAAATGTTGAAAGTTGTATCAACTGTGTCTTCGAGAGAAAAAAAAATCTGAATTCTATATCCAGTTCTGGCTTTGGAGTCCGTTTTTTCTGCTTGATAACACCGGGGAGAAGGGGAGGCTGTGAAACTGGGCCAGACGCCTACCTTGGACAGTTGGTGGAGGTGAGAAGACGCATGTCTGCACACCTTTCAGAGGTGCTGCTATCACAAAGCCGTCAGGGCAGAAGGCCCCGGGTGAGGGGTGAGAGAAGGAACAGGACCGTCCTATGGCCAGGGCAATGGCACGGTGATCAGTGTGCATGGAAGGGCACTCATGACCACAAATACCACAGGGCCCCTGCAGTGTGCCAAGGGTCTAGGAGAGAAGGAAGAGTTGCCAGTCCTTTCCTGGGACAGTGTGGGAGGCCCCTGTGTCCTGTGGGTCTCAGGGCAGCATTTTGGGAACGGCAGGAAGAGGGCCAGGAGCTGGCTGGGAAGGGGTGCCCCGCTACCTCCTGGCAGTGCCAGGGTCCGGCTGCCGGAGCCGCTGCTCACCTCCTTCCGGGTACTCGCCTCCTTCCCCTCCTGCCGGGACCAGCTCCTCAGATTTCCGCCTGACTCACGGGTGTCCAGCAGCAGTGAGAAGACGCCTCTGTAGCTCTCAGAGGCCCCCCGCGTCTCTGGCAAGGCCCCTCTGTTTTATTCCACTCAAGCGCTAAGCTGCATCCACGACCAATTCTTTTTGGGAAAAGGTCATTGCCTGTGCACCGGTGGAGGGATGGGTGTTGCATCATTGTATGGCTGAGTCTCAAGCATGAAAGCTTCATAACTATCTCACGGTGATACAATAAAATAGAAAATGACGTGGAGTTCACGCCCGATTCAGTCAGCTTAATGGCTGAACAAATAGCAGTACTCTTACATTATTTTTTTTACTATATTTATTATTTATTTATTTTTGCTTTTTGGGACACACCAGCAATGCACAGGGGTTACTCCTGGCTCGGCACTCAGGAATTACCCCTGGCGATGCTCAGGAGACCATATGGGATGCTGGGAATCAAACCCGAGTTGGCCACGTGCAAGGCAAACGCCCTACTCGCTGTGCTATTCTTTGTGGTGCCACAGCTGGAAGCCCAGTCACCTGCACAGAGGCGGCTGCTTTGCACACTGACCCCACTCCAGTGCTGGATGTCACCCCGTCTCAGGTGAGAGCTGGGCAGAGGACCACCAGTGCCCATGTCTGCTGGGCCCAGTTCCGTCCACTCTGCTGGGGAGCAGGAGAGATTTCCCTCGAGACTCCACAGGCCATGTGATCGCTACTAACTTGATTTCCTCTGGGAATTTTCTATTTCTTTTTTGCTTTGTTGTTATTATTTTTTGTTTTTTGGGTTACACCTGGCGATGCACAGGGGTTACTTCTGGCTCTGTATTCAGGAATTATTCCTGGCAGTGCTCAGGGGACCATGTGGGATGCTGAGAATCGAACCCGGGTTGGCTGTGTGCAAGGCAAACGCCCTACCCGCTGTGCTATTGTTCCAGCCCCAGCTTTTGTTATTATTTTGGCTGGAGGACCCTAGGGGTGAATATATTCCTGGCTCTGTGCCCAGGGATCACTCCTGGTGGATCTGATCCCTGGGCACATACACAATCTCCGGAATAGAATCTGGGTCAGCCACATGCAGGTCAAATGCCTTAACCTCTGTTAAGGCCCTCTGGCCCTCTCTGTACTTTTATCTCTCTGGCCCTCTAAGTACTTTTTTTTTTTATGTAGGAGTACTGCTATTTATTCAGCCACTGATTAGCTGATTGAATTGGCCATGAACTCCACCTTACTTTTTTTTTTTTTTATAAAGGTAAAGGTAAAGGCCCTCCTGTTGATCGTTGATCGTCGATTTGCTCGAGCGGGACCAGTAACGTCTCCATTGGAGACTTTGTTGTTACTGTGTTTGGCATATCGAATACTCTCGGTAGCTTGCCGGGCTTTATTGAATCACTGTGAGAGCACTTACAAAGCTTTTGGTTTAAGTCTCAGTCATACAATGAAACACCTGTACCTTCACCAGTGCCCATTCTCCATCACCAAAAACCCCAGTAGACCTCCATTCCACACCCTCCCCCTACCTGTGGTGCAGATGATTTCCATATTACTCTCTCTCTACTTTGATCACATTCAATATTTTGACACCAGACCCACCATTATTTGAGATTTTACCCCAACACTCAGATCTGCTGAAAAGGCAACAGTAGACAATTTGTTTTCTCTT